GATGGGTGTGTACTATGCCACCTCAGGAGCATACCATGTATCTTTTCCCTAAGTCAAAAGTCCCACTTGGGAGGACTTTTTTAGTCTGAAATTCACTAGATGATATTTTTAAAAGAAAATTTTCAAATTTTTGAGCTTTTTGACACTTAGATTTTTGTCCTCCAAGAATTGCACGGCCTCTGTTCAATCTTGAGCTTTTTTATTTTGGTACATAGAGAGTTCAATTCACAACGTTTTTTTTATCTTACAAATGTCAAGTCTATGGTACATAGCGAGTTCAATTCACAACTTTTTTTTTATCTTACAAACGTTAAGTCTATGGGTTGAAGAGATTACTACTCGAAAATTTGGGTCCTAAAATTATTCCTATTTTGGGTTTTACCTGAGGGTGTAAATGAACAGTATATTCTCAAGGGGGTATAAAATGTAAAGTATATATATATATATATGAAAGGTTCTGTGTGAGGGTACAGCCCTTCAATATTCAATGTCTCTTTTTTTTTCTTTTTATCTTTTTTTAACAAGGGGATTTTCATTGATTAGCGAAAAGAAATCACAACAAAAGGGAAAGAAAAGAAAGACAAGATATAAAAGAGAACAGGAGAAAAAGGAAACAAAAAAGAAAAGAGAAGGAAACAACCCTAAGGCACCTCCCTTTACTAGCACGTCAGCTTCGTTCCTTTCGGGATGAACATCAGAATATTCAATGTCCATCTTTAAGATGGAGGTAAAAAAAAATAAAAAAATAAAAAAATAAAAAAAAATAATGGTCACCATCTTCTAAAATGAGTGTAGAAAATATCAAAAAATCACTCTCAAATTTGGACTTATTAATTCTTTTTAATATTTATGATCACTGTGGCGGAGGTTATGCATTCCTAAATTTTTGGATCCAAAATCCATGTTTTAAATAGATTTTGGAGGGGGGTGCACATCAACAGATGAGTCTGTCTCATAAAAAACCCCACCCTTATATGCATATGCTCCTTGAGTATATAATAAAAAAATAGAATAAGCCCTTCAAATCAGGTAAAACCACAGAGATGGTGCAATAAGGAGAGAAAAAAGAAGCCATATTTTGCTAGAAACAAATGTAATGTAATATAAAAGTGAATAAGTATTTACGGAGTGAAGGGCTTACGAGGTTTTTGTTGAAGTCCCGAAGGAGCACTTTGAAGAACCAGTATTTTCTCCTCCGACACCACGCACCACATCGCGCCATTTTCTTCAAAAGAAACAACGTTACTCTTCAAAACAATAAAAGAGAGAGAGTTGCAGAGAGAGAGAGAGAGAGATGGCGAGTATGAGTCTCACGGAGAGAGAGAGAGAGAGAGAGAGAGGAGGGAGGGACGACGACGAGAGAGAGAGAAGAAGAAACGTACATCTCAGTCTCCATCTACAACTGTCAAAACTCTGGAATGAAGTACCCGACATACAAATATTCGAGAGGAAGAGAGAGAGAAGAAAAAGGTCCATCTCAGTCTCCATCTCAACTGTCAAAACTCTGGAATGAAGTACCCGACATACAAATATTCGAGTCTTACAGTATCCACCTGACGCACTGAAATAGTAGAGGCTGCCAATAAATTGCTGCCCATTCGTTGCTCGACATGTTGCAGAGAGAGAGTGGTATATGCGTACAAGAGAGACTGGGAAATGCGAATTAGAGTTATCCAGATTGGACTCCACACCAAATCCTTTCACTCGAATTTTTTTTTTTTTTTAATTTCGAAATTAAGATTTTTTTGGATAAATTAAGATCACGGGGATAGGGAGATCACAATCAGTCTAAACTTTCGATGTGAAATACTAAAACTTAAGATATGTTGTAAAGATAGAGAAATTTTATTTTAAATTTAAAACTTGGTCCCTCCAACCATATCATTTAAATCCAACGATCATTAGTAATTGTGATATTCTTATATCAAATATATATAGCCTTAGTTTATACATTTTAAAAATAAATTAACCAATCTATTAAGAAAAATGTTGTTCACTTTATTCGACCAGATTGAAACTGAACCAATTTGACGGGTCAAAATCGGTCAACCACCAATAATAATGACTACATTTTTCTTATCAAATGAAACACTGATATTATCTAATTCTTTACCAAGTCCTATTATTACTCTTGAGACTATTTACTCAAGACACCAGCCAACAATCCAGTTTGGACAACTATAGATGTTTTAAAAGCACTACAAATAAGCCTCTAAAACCGTTACACGTCGAACTAAAGAAAAGTTGCTTTACTTTGAATCGTATTTAATTGTAGTCTTACTCCTAATACACCTCTCAACCAATCAAAAGTTCCAAACTCACTCTGCCATTGGGTTTTAAAAAACGGATGGATCGGTCAGGTACTACACCATTTGGAATCAGATGATCCAAATGGGTGATTCAAAAAAAACTTAAAAAAAAAAGAGAGTAAAAATTAACCAAAGTAAAGGAAATCTATCGCCTTCGATGATTTTAAATCATCAAATAAGACAAATAAAATTTAGGAATAGAGCCAATTCCCAATTTTAGGAGGGCATATGGCATAGAAGATACTAAAAAGCGACAATTTGCTAGCCCTGATCCTTATAACTTTTTGGACGCGTTTGAAAATTGGAAGTTTGGGGAGGAAGAAAGAACTTCCCCATTAATGTACAACTCCCGTGCAACCCCTTCATCCTAAACCTCCCAAGTGAGAAGGGAGTGGGAGTTGTTAGTATAAAAGGAATTTTTAAGGATGCTTCGTAATATATCGTTTAGGCTTTCTTATTATGGAGTTGTATCAGTGAGAAGGGACCGGGAGTTGTATCAGTGAGGGTTTTATTGGGATATTAGGGAGAGATTTTAATGCATTTATCTTCACAATTGAATATTTTATTAGTTAATAACAAATGTAATAGTAAAAATTATTTTTAATATATTATTAATTAGCACATATCTATTTAACATATAAAATAATGAAGATGACTTAAATAAATAATTTAAATAAATACTTTAAAATAAATAAATAAAACCAATAAATAAATTTATGCAAGCTCTTACTAATGCTAATATCCAATATATTAGTTTAAGACATTAGATCCTATTAATATCTATATCTAATATATTAGTCCCTTAAGGCATAATAAAAAAGCATTAACCTTAATTATAAATAAAAGAGTGCTAAGAATTTATATATATTGATCAAGAATACTAGAGGGGAGAGAGATTTAAAGAAAAAGATAGAAAGATTAGGAACAAAGAGTGAGTGAAAGATTTAAGGGTGACAAGTGAGATTAACACATATTTCTTTTCTTAACCCACATGTTTCCCATTAACAACAGACGGAAAATAATAACTTGAGTGAGATGGATTAAATATTATAAATAAAAATATCTACGTTTTTTTATTGGGTTGGGGATTTTTTTGTGCATGGGAAATAATGACTTGTATGTGAGAGAGATAAATTATGCTTAATAAAAAATGCATGCTTATTAACAAGGGATCGCCATTTTCAATAGGTTGTGTTTTTTCTATTGCATTAACTTAAGAAGTATAAAATTTATTTAGAAAGCATGAACAGAGGAAATAATTCAGATATAATATTTGTTATAAAAAAAGACTAAATGCGATCAAAAGATTTTTAATATTATTTTAAATAGATGAATCAAGAGGGACATAGTACAAATGCAAAATACTAAGAAAACGTTAGAGGAGATGGGGATCACAATATACCAGTTTTAAATAAATTTTAATAATTCAAAAATTAGAATTAAAAAATAAAAAGTATTTAAGTATCCCAAAAATATCCCAAAAAACAAAGAATTAAATTTCATATACGTTGAATCACATTAAAAAAAAGAAAATTATCGTTAATATACCTATATTTTACTATAATCGGAAAAAAAAATCTCAATTTTTCAGAACCTCACCGACACCCTTTTTTACAATTTTCGTAATGATAAAAAATTACAAAAATTAATGTAGATATTCTACAATAGTTGCTATTGATTTTGGGTTTTGATTCTTTTATGCATGACAAAATTAGTGATTTTTGTGCATATTTTTGGAGTCCTAAAGGAATTTACAATAAGCTATTTGTATTATTTTTTTTATAGAGCAAGTGAAGGTTGGATGTCATATTTGATGATATTTCCAATTGAGTTCAAAACCCACTTTGCATGACAATGTAACTTTTGAAAACTAAAAAGATTCACTGTTTTTTAGCCAACAATGTAGATATTCTAGAATATATCATACTAATAGTGAACTTACAATTTCTACTCTAAAATTTTTTACAACAAAATACCTTTACAATTATAAAAATTACATTTATAATAGATTGTTTGAAAATTCTGTGACAAGCATATTTGTAATTTTAAGTTGCTTTAAAGATCTACTTATCATTCAATGTTCAAATAATCTTTTTAAATTTGAAACTGAATTTTAGAGTGATTTTAAAAGGACAAAGATATCATTTATAAAAAGATGTGGTTTGTATAAGATTACAACCTTAAACAATCAAATTAAGGCGTACTTCTGAAATTTATCATAAATATAAGTTATGTGTAAAAAATTATTAGGATGAATATAAGTTATGTGTAAAAAATTGTTAGGATGGTTTGAGAATCTATTTTTATCTCTAATTATGAAATCTTAAACTTCAAAAATGGTTCAAATCAAGTAGATCTATAAACACTTGAAAATCTTGTAAATGGACAGTTCAAATAATGTGTTACAAGATACACTATTTTTTGGACTCAAAAGTTTTTTTTTTCCTTTTCATACTCTTACATATCGATGTTGAGACGATCAATTAGAGGTTTTCCAACATCAAAATAACTTTTTATGATGGATTTTAGAGGTGCACCCTAATTCTACATTTTAAAATGGCAACATTACATAAAACTATTTCCGTATAAAATACATAAATTATTTATAGTCAAAAGTCAATACATAAAAGCATTTTAGGGTTGAATGTTTTGTAGTTCACCATTAGTGTAGTGTATTTTAAAATAGAAAAAAAATAATATGCATCATGGGACACACTTCTACATGTGCGTCCCCTACTGTAGCTAGCATCCATCTTAAAGATGGATCTTAAAAGTTGGTGATCCCACCAAAATTTACAAATCAATGGTATAAAAACATACAACCAAAACTATTTCTTTTTATTTTTAAGCTTTTTATTTATTTATTCATATTCACCATTAATCAACCCTTAAAATTTTTGGATCCAAAATATTTCTCTAAAATAGATTTGAGAGGGATTTGAGAGGGAGGACTCACATGAATAGATGAGCCACATGACTCATGGAAACCTTTTTGTTCTAAAATAACCCATATATCATCATCGAGCTTTAGCCCAACTATATCGGCTACATAAATCATTTTCTGCCTCGATTAAGTATAATATCCTCATATAGATTAGGAAAAGGTTGATATAAAGCCAAGGCTCTAAACAATCAATTTAGGGCGTACCTCAAAAAAATCGCTAAAAGAGGTTGTTTTGAAGCCCAAAAATCCTCAAATTGATCATCTCGACCTCAAGATGTATGGACATGAGAAAAAATTGATTTCAAGTCTTAAAAATAGTGCATCTTGTAAAACATTTTTGGATCAATAATTTCCAAAAATTTTAAATGTTCATAGATCTACTCAATCTATATTACTTTTGTTTTAAATGTTATAATTTAAGATAAACATAAATTTTCAAGCCATCATAAAGATTTTCAAAATTGAAATGTCTTTTGCTTTACTTTGATTGTTTAGAGTGTTGGCACTATACAAACCACACCCTTCAGATGATAAGTCGACATATTTATTATCATTGCTTCCATCAATATCCTTTTGGAGCTTTCCCTTGGCCTTTAGAGCCTTTCATTTGAACCAAATCGCCCTCCTAACTAGTTTTGTTCTAGATGGAACCAAATCGTCCTCCTGACTGGTGTTGTTCTAGGTAGACGTTGTGCATATCTAGGCCACCTAAATCTACTCCAGTCATCTTATCGCCTATTTGAAGCTACCCCTAAGTTCTTTCAAATGTATTTCTTCGGATTTTATCCTTTCTTGTTTTTCCACTCTTCCATTTTAACATCCTTATCCAAGCTATACCCATTCTATAAATATATTGTTTCTTAACCGCTTAACGTTCATCCTCTAAAGCATGAAGCTATGCTTACAAGCGCGCACACATGGATTGTATACTATGAGACTATTTATCTTCATTACAAGGAAGTACACCCTTATTAAACGGGCTCAAGGGCAGTAGCCATGCCGCGGGGATTGTGGCCAATAAAAAGGTGATGGGTGGGCCACATTGCCACCCTATTCAAATAAAAGTAAAAATAAAAAATATGAATTTTTAAAGAAATAGAAAGCATGGGTTGTCAAGTTCTGTGGGGCTGGGGTAGATGGATCACCGCTTCTACGACATAACTGGCCATTTTTTAGTTGAGGGCACCGGTCGCTTCCCAATATTTTTTAGGGACCGGTTCCATCGATTAGTGACCCAGCTCGAGCGGATCCAATCCAATCCGGATTGCTGATTTTTAAAAGTTTATGTTATATTTATACCTCGAGGATGCATAATCGATAAATAACAAATCAATTAACGAATGTGTTTCAATCAAGGTTTCTGCATATACCTGTGTCTGAAATAATGGGGACCCTCTCCTCATAAGACGCAGACAAATGAGAAAAATATATTTTAAGACCTAAAAAAAATGCATCTTGTAATGTTTTTTTTAAACCGTTAATTTTTAAAATTTTCAAGTGTTCCCTGCTCGAGCTACACTGTTTTTGAAGCTTTAAATTTTATAATTAGATATAAAAATAATATTTCAAACTATCATAAATATTTCTAGTAACGAAAAAACGACATTATTGTATGTGAGCCTTATTTTGATTGTTTAGGACCTAGGCCCTATACAAACCACATCATTAATAAATAGCATGTGATTATTGCAATTCGTATTCCGGCGGGGAAATATTATGGAAAAAGATGCTTGTAAGTAGTGCTGTTAATGGTCCGGGCCGGGCCTGATTTCGAGCCGCTACAGGACAATGATGTTCAAGAATGTTTCAGGCTTTGGGCCGGGTGGGCCACCATCCACAGTACCATTTAACAGGCTGGGCAAAAATGACACGGAAAAGCCCGAAAATGTGCCCAACGGCCCGGGCTGGCCTGGCAAGCCCAAAACATAGTGCAACCCAGCCTAGTTCATTTAGATTTTTTTTTTTATTTAAAAAATATTCACTCTTCAAACTTTTTTTTATTTGTAATAAGCCAAAAATAAATAAACAAATAGATGCTAAACTATTTTTTAGAAATTTTAAAACCCATTTTCTCTTGCTTGAAAGCCAATCTTTTTCTCTCTCTAAAAACCCAATGTCTCTCTTTTTAAAAACCCATTATCTCTAAAAACCCTATCTCACTCTCTCCCTATCTATCTTTAAAAACCCATTCTCTCTCTAAAAACCCAATCTTCCTCTCTAAACACCCATTCTCTATTTAGAAACCCAATCTCTCTTGCTCTCTCTAAAAACCCAATTTCTCTCTCTAAATCCATTCTCTTCATCTACAAACCCAATCTCTCTCTCTAAAAACATACTCTCTCCAAACACCCCATATCTCTCTCTATATAAAAATCCACTCATTCTCTCTAGAAACCCTCTCTCTCTAAAAACCTATTCACTTTAGAAGCCCAATCTCTTTTTAAAACCCGTTCTCCCTCTAAGAACCCAATCTCTCTATCTGAAATTTCCACTCTAGAAACCCAATCTCTCTCTCTGAAATTCCCTATCTAGAAACCCAATATCTCTTTTTTCTTCTTTTTTTTGACAAATAAGAGCCAACAAAAGACTTACTCAAAACCCATTCTTTTACTATCTCTAAAATTCTCTTTAAAAACCCAATCTCTCTCTAAAAACTTATGTTCTCTTTAGAAACCCAATATCTCTTTCTCTTTAAAAACCTAATCTCTCATTCTCTCTCTAAAAACCCAATATATCTTTTTCTCTCTAAGAACCAAATCTCTCTTGAAACCCATTCTCTTTCTTTCCTTCCCTCTAAAAAGGGCACATGTTTTTTTTTTTTTTGGCTTACTACCAACAAACGTTTGAAGGGTGAAAAAAAAAAAAAACCAGGAGAGGAGAAAAAAAACAAAGAGGCTTCTTAATGGGCAGGCCCAGCCCAATAGGGCCCTATGGTCCGGTCCGGGCCGGGCCAGGTCTGACTGTTACATTTCCGGGCCAGACCGTTGGCAGCCCTACTTGTAAGTATATGAAATTAAACCCAATTTATATACATGCAGGCTCCTAGAGAAAGGTAGTCTGACACAAAAGTGGTATGTGGACGTCCTAGGGCTTTGGCTTAATGATACACATATGTGATTGGATGAGGGAGGTCAAGGGTTCAAACTCGTGAAATTTGTCCCAAAGCATCAATAAATCTAACTTACCCTTTCTTGAGATTCAGGCATGAACTCGATTGGTTACGGTGTCGAATGTTATAACACTACATATCAAATTAGAATCGCATGATATACGCACCCAACGAAAGAGCGGCATGTAAGCTAAGAAGCAACCAAAGGATCCTGAGTTCATGTTCAAATATGAGAATTGAACTTCTAGTATCAACAAAGAAGTTAAAGCACATTTAATGTCAAACTACTTATCTAAACTGGTCACCACTCCAAATTACAAAGCTGCTACATTCAACAACGAAAGCATAACTTACTTGATTTGCTGCCAGTTGGGCGGATTGGGTCACCCGAAGAAATTAAAGCCCATACATATTATGCAATTATGTCCTTTTACATACAAATGCCATCCATGTCAACTGTTCTTCAGATTTCAATCATCCCTGAAAAAATGAACAATCATTTCATCCTTCTCCGGCAGCAGCTCAAAGATACAAATGTCACCTAGCTTGAGATTATTCCCCAAATAGAAGTCTTTCCACCCAGTTTGTATAGCACAAGATCCTACTTTTCTCAAATTGACAAAGACTTTCCACGACTTCCCACCCTTTACTCGGAGTTTCATTTTTCTACTTGCACAGATATGGAGTCTAGCAAAATTAGCCGGAATATACTGCACATGAAATAAATCGTTATTTAGCCAAAAATAACCTTACGAGATAAGTTTATCATTATTCCATATTTGAAATTTCATCATGCTTCAATGAGCGCCTTCATCTGGCCGTTCCAAGCTTAAGGCCTTGGCTCAAAACGAATCGGATGCATCAATTTGCACAATAAATTAACATAATTCCCAAAATAAGGAAGATCTTTTCACACCTTCAAAACACTGATGTAAAATTTTGGACCTATTTTCTTAAAAAGAACACCAGATCGAACTGTTCAAACATCTGACTATCAGGAAAATAGACTAAGCTTCCATAATCTGTTAATAACCCAGCCATGTAAATGCCACATGCTCTGCAAATATGAAGTGGAAGGCTTTAGAGTTGACAGCAAATCAGGAAATCCCAAATGAGTCTCATTTTAGGTGATATAGCTAAAAAGTAGTATTGTTTCTTCATTTCGCAATATTCAACATCAGATGTAAAACAATAATATCTAATAATTAGCAGCAAATTGTCACCCTCTTTCAATGTAAATTGAATTTATCAATGGAAATCTTACCGCAAATCTGGAGCTAGAAGGTTTCATTTGTACTTTGAAAAAGGGATTGCTCGAGGAAAAAGATCTGGCTGCATCAGAAGCCATTGAAGTATTTTGATTACTCAATGATTGTCTCTTTGGTTTCGCTGATCCCGAACGCAATGAATTTCTGATATTTCGTTTGCCACTCCATTTTACATCAGGACACATAATTTCGACATCTGAGATAATAATACCTGTATCATATTCACACAGTTTCTATAAGAATGATTCCTAAGACAGGCAATAACCAGAAAGACCTTGGGAAGACAAAAGGAGCTCATTATACAAAGACTTACAATCATCAGATTCTTCATCGTCTTTAGCAAGAATGTTGGGTAAACTAGTCGGATTGGCATTAGGCTGGACTGAGTTATCAGTAAATCCATCAACATGATTAAGGGCAGATGATCCACCAAAACACTTTCCACCATCACCACTGGAGTCACCGTAAGGAGGTTCTACTTTTGCTTGCATGTCATCCCCCCTGTCTTTGTCATCCAAGAGATTCTCCTTTGCATTATTGGAAGTTTCTTTTTCTCCATCAAGAGTTTCTTTAGTTTCTTTTTCTTCATCAAGAGTTTCTTTCTCTTCATCGGTTTTAATCACAGATGCATATATTCTTTCACATCCACTTATACCAAATACTTGAACACTAAAATGCAAATCACCATCGTATCTGAAAACTAAGAATTCTCCTGTTTGTAAAGAGTTATCGCTGACAAATTCATTCCAACCATCTTGAAAAAACAGGCCCTTAGAAGTACTTTTCATTTTAACATAACACAACTTGCCAATAGGACCTTTTAGGACGGCATTTTCTGCTGATATCTCTCTTCTATTACGCCGCACGAATTCCGGTGGTATCCTCTGCTAACGCACAAATAACAGGAGTTACAACTTCACAAATCCAAGACCCCAAAAAAAAAAAAACAAATCAACCAATGTATCTAACAAAACCTGAGTACTATTACTGAAGTGGATCTCACATGCATTATTTTATCTTTTCTATCACAAGAAAAAAATTGAAATACATCAAAATAAGGTTTTGATGCAATTGGGTATAGAATATATATGCCTTTTGTCCATCTACCAAGAGACTATCTTTGAATGTCAAAATAAGGTTTTGATGCAATTGGGTATAGAATATATATGCCTTTTGTCCATCTGCCAAGTGACTATCTTTAAATGACCTACATTATAGACCACAGTTTCCACGAGACCTCATGTGTATGTAACACTTTTTGCATAACATGTCATGAACTTTTTTTTTTTCTTTGAATAAACTCAAGGGTCGCAACCTTCTAATAGTATTTGCAATGTTTTGCATGAATTCCACAAGTAGGATGTATAACTGGCACCTACAAAATATTACTGCATGCACATCATTTTTAAAAATTTCTTTATACGCTGGAAAGACAGCGGCGGCAAGGTACATAGGTCCATTGTTTAGCATGTTTTGATGAGAATGATTAAAAAAAAAATTCCTGCATGTTTTCCAGCATGTGTGATCATGATTTCATTTTATAAAGTAGGTGATATAGAATTCAACTTTGCTAGAGTCGTATCACATAATGTAATGTACTGTTTGCTTAATCAATGCTATGCTTAGATTCCATAGATGAATGTAGAAACTATAGAAGATACTCATTGCAGTGAGTATCATTTTGCCCTTCGTAGCAGGACTCTATTTAAAACCTATTCCCAAAATAATCCTGTTATTAATATTTTAAAAACAGATTTTCGAAATAATATTTAGAAAGGTTTTTTGAAGAAACTGAAATAATGTTGCATTATATTGTTTTCATTTAATAATTTAAAGACACTCCATTTTTCAGGCCAGTTGTTTGAACTCACTTTTTAGGAACAAAAACTGATTAATCCGATTGTTTTCTTCCCAAGCTATCGCCACCACATGTAGTGCTAGCCATGATGGTAAGTAGAGGAGTGGGCCCGGCATTTGTTTTTGTGGTAACTGTTTACTACTAATACCGATCATAAATTTCATAGAATGTATGGTTGGCCGTTCTTTTATTAGAAACTGTTTATTAGTTGGGCCATCTCATGAAGCTATATCAGTGTAGAGTATTCCAATACAAGATACATGCGGTTTACCATTCTCGGCCAACATCATCAGCTTCCCAGGTGATGTAAGAGAAAGGAAGCCAAGAAAAGCTCAGACACCCCGGGCCAACAGGATTCGCATAAATTTTCTTCAAAAGAAAATATGGTTTACAAAATAATGAATAAACCTTTGTACCAATGAATCAGGAACCAATAAAAAGTCTAAAAGAGGGGTTTACCATTTAGCATCTAAAGAGGCTTCCACAAAATCCACGTATCTCAAGAAAACCGAATTACAGAACTAGCTTCAATTAATGTTGAGTTTCGCCATTTACAACATTGTTAGGGAAAGTCTCCCATCAACATGATGTGGATGGTGGAAGGGTACTGAAGTTACCTTCCAATGGTTTGGATTGAACAAGCCCTCATTTAACAGCTACAAACTAACTTTGTATTTCATTTTGAAATTTTATTTAAAAATTATCTTTCTCTCAGATTTGGGGGTGTAGAGATATTTTATATAGCTAAATAAATAAAAATAACAAAAAATTGTTTTGAACAAAAAGAACCGACTAGAATGCAGGTCAATCTTTTTGTTCAAGAGATTTTTATTAGTTCTATTCAGCATGCCATATAAAAATATATCTACACCCCCAAATTCTAAAAAAAAAAAATTTAAATAAAAATAAAAAACAAAATACGAAACTATTTTATAACCATTGAATGAGGCTAGGTTAAACCATTGTGCACCCTTCAAGCATCCACATGATGTGGACGCTGTCCCATTCCTTTCTGGTATCACATTACATATATAGTTCAATTGATCACAGTGAGCCATTTGCTACACAAAGAACTCATCAAATTTAAACAATGAATCCTGCAAATCATCCCCTTAATTCATAACAAGCAGTAGAAAAGGTACCTACAACACACAAATCAACAGCATTGAAAATCAATATCTAATCTTACTTTTTCAGAGAAAAATTGGAAATTTTCCCGAAATCATCATGAAATTACAAGCAAATAGCTAATCTTACTTATTCAGCAGGCATGGAACCAAAAAGAAAAAAAGAAAAAGGAAAAAAAAGAAGACACAAAGCTTGCAGTGGAATTCAGCAAACCAGAAAAAGATGAGAAAAAAGAGAATCACTAGAAGCTGTGAAAAACATACAAGTTTCTCAGTGAAGTCACCCAAAAGGATCTTGAAGAAGCAGGGCTTATGCTCATCCGAAGCCATTACTGTAAAAACCTTAGAAGCCTGAACAGTAAAACTGCATGCAAAACCCTAGAAGATTGGACCCTGATCTTTATGGGGCGGACGGAGAGCATTTACTTAAGAAGCTATTTTTGTTATTTCCAAAAAAAAACAAAAAGCTACTACTTTTACTGGTACACTTGGCGCCAGATGTTTAGTCACACAGCTTTGGGTTTAATTTTAGGAGTTTAGAGGACGAGAGGCCTTGAGCCTTCCGTACAAAGGAGTAAGAGCCGTCTTAAGGATTCCGTACAAAATGCAATTTAACAGTGATGTGTACGTGACCACCAACGATTGGCCAGTTGAGAAGATATGAGAAGTGCAAATCTATCACCATGTTTTTGTAAAGCATGTGCTATGCACGTGTCATCAAAACTACTGCAAATCATAGGAAAATATAAATCAGATATAAAAATATCAAAAGAAATTACAGATCGGGCACAATTATCTCAAAGCAAATTTTTTATTATTATATAATATCTTAAAACAATTAATAGTCATGAACAATTTAAAGCATAAAATCTTGTAATTTAAAATATGAGCTCTCTAAATAAAAATATGGCACTTGAGTCTAGTAAGGAGCACGTGCGCGAGACCTTAGGCAATCTCATCTAATATGATAACATATAAAAGTAAGTTCCCACAAATCATATATATATATATATATAAACGTAAACAAAGTAATTTACTAGAATATTTTTAACCATAATTACAGTAAAAATTTTAACTATAGTTATAGTTGTGACCATATATATAATACTAAACAAATATAAATAAAGTAATTTACTATATAAATAATTTATTTGTTGCATTGGTAGCAATGGTTCAGAAGTGAAAAAAACAATATTGGAAAAAAGTTTTGAGTGCGTATACTATGCTTAAGTGGGATCAGTCTACATCTACTCCCTGGGTTAGAAGATTTTCTTTGGGAGTGTTTCTTCAATCGAAATTTTGAGAACCCCAAAAAGTTACTAGGTTGTTATTCACTGAAGAAAAAAATTGAATTTTGAGTTTCTTAATACTTAATCTCACTTTTTAAAAATTGAACGGTCTCTTTTCAATCTTGATACATTATTTTTTTAAGTGCATAGAAAGTGCAATTAGGATTTTTTTTTTGTGAGTTAATTTAAGAGTCGGAGAAGTTACATCCGCAAATATAGGGTCTCAAAATTAATTCCAGATGAGGATTAAAATCAGTATCTTGGATGTTGGACTCGGTCCTGGGCTGAGTGGACTCAGCTACATGTCAATTTTTTTGTTGAAAAGTAAAAGAAAAACACGAAAATGGTTAAAGTAATTTAGAATAGTAAAAAATAAAATAAATAATAGAAATCATTAAAAGTTTATAAAAGTGCCAAAATGCATACGAAAGATGGATTATGGAAAATTTGGATTTACAACTTAAAATGTTTTAAAAAATTCAAAAAAGGAAAAATAAAAATGAAGCGTGTAATAATAAAAGTTTCCAAATCATCACATAAAAATATATTTCTAAATAATATAGCATGTGAAGTTTTTTAACAAATTTAATGGCTTTTTAATAGGGGGGAATTGTCCCTTGGACCTCGCCTCGATCAATAACAAATTTAATGACTTTGTGCAGGTCATTTTTATTGGATGACATGAAGAAGCTATGGCCGTGCCAAAACACACCCTTTGTTGTGAACTTATAAAACTTTTAACTTTCTCCCTTCCATAAAATAGCGCATGTAGCGTGCTTCCACAGCCAAACATCATAAGACATCAAAGGTGATAATCAATGGCAACAATGCTCATTGTGTCCAAATTCTTGCATGTACATGTTGCAAGTGCTTGCACATATGGAGTATCATTTGAATTTACATTATTTACATCCACAGGCATGTAAATACAAATAACAAGGCCTAGTTTGACTGGGCATAAATAACAAGGCGTAGTTTGACTGGGCAGCAATTTATGCTCAGGTGCCATTTAACAAGTAGAATAAAAATGCCCCAGCTCAGCATTGGCTAATATAAGATAGAAAAGAGATTTTATATTATAAAACCATTCACCTTTGGGAGTGGTATATTCATAGTTATTAGATGTAAAATCGGACAAATTGAAATGTGTTGAGAAATTTTATTTTAAACTTTGTATCTAATTAATGAAACATCTCCAACTACGGGATTTCACATTTAATGGCAAATAATGATCTTGACCTCTTTATACCAGAAGTAAATGGCCTTATTGCATGTATTTCCATTAAAAAAATACTTAATACACTAGCAAAAGTACGTTTTTTACGATATAATTCCATTTTTCTTATGTGGTATTACGATATAATTCCATTTTTCTTCTGATATTACGATATAATTCCATTTTTCTTCTGATACTACGTGGAGGTCTTACTCCATCTATTTTATTTTTTTTTAGTTTTCCCCTTGATCCCACATTAGCAACATCGTAATTCTTTTTTTTTCTTTTTTCTTTTTTATTTTTTTTATTTGCTTCAACGGAGTTATCATGCTGTGAAAAAATCAGTCAATGTTTGAAACATCGGACTGCCTAAAATTGGGTTGTTTGAAATATATTAGAGTGACCTATACTCTATGGTTTCCATTTTATAATGTGATGCAATGTTTTTAACATCGGAACATGGCACCTCCTACTCTTTAGTTTCCATTTATAATGTTGTGTGATGCTTGAAACATCAGTATGCATTATAAACAGAAACTAAGGAGTAAAGGTCGATTTGATGAAAATATTGAACCGACCCAAAACAACGGCAGAAAAAAAAAATCGTGTTGGTCCAAAGCTTCAAAGATCGAACTGACCAAAAGACAAACTTAATGACACCCAATTCACCCTTTCAATCTCACCCAATTCACCAAAAGACGGACTTAATGACCCAAAGACAAACTTCAGAGAAGTCCGATGTTTCGAACATCAGAGCAACATCCAATCCCCCCCCTACCCTTGACAACCCTACATTTTGGGAGAAAAAAGGAGAAGACACGGTCAAATGTCCCTAATATCAGATCGAGAAGCAAAACTAGAGAAAAAGAAAACAAAAAGTCAAGACATCACTATAAATTTCAGAAAAAATTCGATCACCACTGGTTTTTTTCATAAGTTTTCCTCCCTCAAATCTTTAATGTAAATCTCTCAATCTCTTTTACTGTAACCTTCAACCACATTAAGGTTTAGTCATGGGTTCTCGTACCTAATATCGACTTTATGTTCTTGACTGTGAGAATGAATTACCTTTTTGCTTCTAAAGCTGTCCATAAAGGTCACACACACCTTCAACACACGAGGATAATGGATGTATGAGCATCTTATACCACACTCCTTTGAAGTATAATATCTGGTCCCTGCGCTTAACCTGCAATAATGCACATACACAAAAGAAAGAGAAGTGCAAAAATGCGCACTCATGTTGACCATATATGTGCATAGTTGGCATGCATCCTGCAATATGAGAGAGAGAGAGAGAGAGAGAGAGAGAGAGAGAGAGATCACAGCTTAAGGTATGATCAATTGTCCACAAAATTTTCAGCCAAAATCTTTCTATCTATCTGGCCATCAACCATCAGTACTTCTTTTTCAAGATTTTGTCAAAATGTGTTGACTAAATAATTTTCTCTTTTAACAGAAAAAAATATCTCAACCGGCAAATACAAGTCACCAGCAAAAACAAAATCGCAGAGACATGCAATCTGAGCAGGCAAAGAAAAGGTGAAACAGCTGCCTCATATATGCACGGACTATTGCAAACCCATACAAGAACAGTCTTTGATAATCTCGACGTATATCAGGTAGTAAACATTTACATTCTCTCTCTGTGTTATATAGAACCTTGGCCATCATATAGGAAGGGAGGAAACGGTTCTTTCAAAACGGTTCCTCCAACGCCACATCCTCAATCCAGTCTCTCCGTCTGAAAAATAATGCAAGGTTAAATAATCATTCTTTTTGTTTAGAATAAACTTGGGTGTGGGAAGAGTGGATCAATGGCAATGTGAAACTAGAATAACAATAATTAAAAAAAAAAAACTTGTATATATGACAATAAGAATTATCACACCACCGCCTAAACTATAATGTGAGCATTCTCTCGATAGCAAAATTTCCAGAGTGCGACCGATTTGAAGATAAAATTGGGATCCCTAAAAAGACACTAGTTCCAAAGAATTTACATATAAAATGAGAGGAATTATAACTACAACACCTAAGCTATATAGTACGAGGTCTCTCTCTCTCTCACGCTCACACACACAGTGATAAGGTATCTCTCTCTCTCTCTCTCTCTCTCACACACACACACACACACACACAAATACACACAGACACAGTGACAAGGTGGCTGGCTTGTTCTGAATTGAAGATAGCTGATTTCAAACATTTCCCAAACCACCAGAACTTACATAAAATTTAGAAAAGCAGCAGAAATTTAGAATATCTGCAAATTAGGGTGGGAATCAGGAATTACAATAATATATCGACGGTTAGGGGAATGATGGAAAGATCTAGTCAGGCCAGTCCAAGATATGAAGTACCATTTTTTTCTCATTCTTAGATATTGAAAGAGAAAAGGAAAGAAGTAAAGAACAATAAAAGAAAATAATGGGAACCCTAGTGGTAGAGGCTTGTATTCTTTGTTTGAAAAGTTGGGTTGAATTCCTATACATTTTTTATAATATAAAAATCTGATACCAAATGTCTAAGTAGTAACACGATATATATGTCGATGCATCACGTTTCAAAGAGTTAATCATCCAACACATATGATAACATCTTGGACCCGGGTCAGAGCATGTCAACATGTGTCAACATGGAGCAAAAGGCAGAAAATGGAGCACGCAATAAGCTCTGGTTACGTTGTGAGGAAAAGGCTCTTGTTAACGCTGGATCATTGGCCAATGTCATCCAAACTGTCAATCTAGCAGATCAATAACCTACTAGATCGTGTGGACACCGCCCATCGATCCAACAGTTGCTAGGGTCTTTCCCAACCATAAAATTATGGGAGGCTCCCTATGCAAACATTTCCCATTTAATTGGACAAAATCTAAATAAATACCAGAAACGAAGACAGTTATTATTTCATGGAATGCATCATTAAAATACCTTCCAAAGACCATCATTCAAATAGTGCATGTTATCCACACCTATCCCCTTGTTGATGGTCCTTCTGCAACAAGAAGCACGTAGACAGGGTTAATCAAATGGTCAATCATGGAAAGAGAAGATTCTCTTTGCGGCAGTCAGCAATGTTCAGAAACTCAAATTTAGTGGTCAACTGTCTCTGCCAAAACTGAATTGACTCTATAAGTTGAACAGCCAATTCGTAAAATCTCGGGGAAGTTTTTAAAATTCTGGGAAGAGGAATTAAAAAAGAAAATGACGCCCAGGTGGGGAATGAACCCAACATGTCATAAATTCAGAAATCTTACTGTTATCAAAGTGTCATCAATTTGAAACTCACTGCATAAGACGCCTTTAGGTCACAAGAGCATAAAAATATTACATAAAGATGAACTCATGCACACCTGTGTTTTTCATTAACAAAATGTGGCAACCTGCAAGGTCGACTTGGTAATTGTTTCTTAAGTTCTTATTCACTGCTTTGCAGTAATTTAACGAATCCATTCAATTTCAATTTCAAGACCAGAAACCCAAAGCACGCTCAGCACAAACACGGGTACAGATACATACAAACATAAATACACACACACACAAAGGAAAAAAGAATAAAAGGTTCAGTCAGCATCACATACTCATATAAAGATCTTTATTCTTGGTACTTATTTTCATATGCTAATCACAGAATAATAATAAAATTTCTAAATTAGCAGATAATATTGTTAAGGGAAATGGTCAGCTCAGAGGGCCTTCCCCAACATACAGATCTCCCACTTTAATAGATGGCAGCTCTACAATTATAGGAACCAGGTAAACAAGGTAACAAACTCACATGATAATGGATACCCTCCTAATGATCATTTACCTAATTTCAATTATATTATAACTTAATAAGGAGCATTACTATATTATATTTGTCATCATAATCACCATTCAAGCCTTATCCCAATTGTTAGGGTCAACTATACGAATCATGTTCTGCCATTCCACTCTATCAAGGGCCGTATCCTCAATCGGACCATAAGTCACTATATCTTTTCTCACTACTTCTATTATGTCCTTTTATCCCTTTGCCTTTTCGGAACTTCCACTTAAACCAAATCACTCCCATCCCAAGTGCTATTCCAAGTCGTCACTGCACATGGCCAGGCCACCTAAGTCTACATTCCCCAGACTTATTCATTATGAATCCTATCCTTTCTTGTCTTGCTACTCATACATCTCAACATCATCATCTTAGTTGACCACCCAACATATTCTATCCCATAGCTGATCTTACAGCCATCTTATAAAGCTTTCCCTTAAGCTTCATTGGTATGTGACAATCACATAAGACTCTAAAAGCACATCTTCACTTCGTCCATTCAACTCTAACTCTATGAGCGACATCTTCCTCAATCTCTCAATTCTCATGTATTATCGATCCAAGATATCGAAAATAATCCCTTTTAGGTACTTTTTGGCCATCAATCATAAACTAATTCCTCAATTCTACTCCTATTATTATTAAATTTGCATTCCAAATACTCTTTATCTTAGTCCGATTAATTTTAGAACTTTTAAAATCTAGAACATCCCTCCAAAGTTCTAATTTTGCATTGGCACCGACTCCAGTCTCATGAATTAAAGCTATGTCATCCACAAACAACATACACCACAGTATCTCGTCCTGTAGATGCCGAGTTAACTTGTCCATAACTAAAGCAAAGAGATATGGGCCCAATGCTGAAAGCCTAATTTAGGCCTACTGTCATTGAAAACTCACTTGTCCCTCCACTAGTTGTCCTCAAACTAGTTAATGCTCCGGACAAATAGTTAGTGCTGCCTCATATCCCTCACAATGTCAATATATCCTCTACATGCTCCTTTCTTTTCCAACACCCACCAAATTAACTCTCTAAGTACCCTATTGTATGCTTTCTCTAAATCAATAAAGATCATGTGGAGGCTTCTTTCTTTCTCCCTAAACTTCTCAATCAATTGCCTAATTAGAAAAATAGCCTCTATGGTTGACCTCCCTGGCATATAGCCGAATTGATTTTCTGATACACTCATTTCATGTTGTAATCATTGCTCAATTACTCTCTCCTACGTCTTCATAGAGTGGCTCATAAATTTGATCCCTTGATAGTTTGTACAACTATATATGTCTCATTTGTTCTTGTAAATAGGTACCACACTACTTTTCTCCAGTCATCTGGCATTTTTGTTGTTCTTAAAATTTTGTTGAACAACTTGATCAGCCAAAATATGCCAATCTCCCCCATGCAGTTCCAAAATCCAAACCTCATAATATCCAATATTGCAATTTTTCATTGCTTATTTTAGAGTGATATGGTGCCAAACTTAAAACAAGGAACTATCACAACAATACCAATGACTTGGAATATCAAATCATAATTCACCTAGTCAAGACTTACCCTTGCCTGATCACTAAGTAACCTACGAAATTGGGGAGCGGGAGCTAACTCACATAATCATGGCTTAGAGCATCAGATAACTCGGACAGATTGAGAAAATACAGAAACAAACAATCCAGAAAACATGAGCACAGAAACATTTGAGACATGCTATTATGCTTCAATGGACCATGACTAGGAGCAGGAATAGGTAAGGCCTAATACAGAAATTGGGCCCATCTCCTAAATCCATGTGTCCATAGATCAGCAACTCAGAAAGCAGAATTGACTTGCCATGCAAACAAGTTGACTCCATGCAATGGCAGCTGGAAAATCTTCTAGGTAAGCATGCCAACTCTAGCAGTTTTCTTTGGCTGATAAAAAGTCAGATATAAGGATATCAACTAGACCATTCTTCAGACAATTGACATACTTGGTAGTATCACTTAGCCAACACCCTACCTAAGTCAATGCCAAGAACCCAAGTATCTCAACCTTTCTGATAATGGAACCATCAAGATAAGTAGTAAGTCTATAATAGCAGAAAAGGTACCCATTACATAGCATACACATCCGATGCATAAGAGTTAGGAATTGCTTGAGAATAGCAGGTGTGTTATTGTGAGAAGCATAGTGACAGTTATCATTATCGAAATAATATTGGAGGGAATTTATCGGCATATTACCTATTGTGCCTTTTATGTTGGGAATTTTTTTGGAAAGCTTTTCAGGAATTCAGTATCGAATTATATGCAATGGTTTTCTATAGAGGGTAGTAAAATCGAACTCAAATTCTATACACTTGAAAAACATAGATCATCATCATCATCATAGCCTTTTTCCAATTAATTGGGGTAGGCTACACAAATCCTGGTCTGTCATTCTGCTCTATTAAAGACCATATCCTCAGTGAGGCCATAAGTCTCCATATCTTTGCGAACTACTTCCAACCATGTCCTTTTGGGCCTACCCCTAGCCCTTTTAAGCCCTTCCACTTGAACTAACTCGCACCTCCTAACAGGTATTGTACTTAGTCGGCACCACACATTGCCAACCCACCTAAGTCTATTCTCTCTCATCTTATCACCTATTGGTGCCACACCTAAATTCTCCCGAACTTGAAAAACATAGATATGTTTCTTAAAGTAGTTTTAAATATATATCAATATTACAATATTGCAAGAAGGTTTGAACATATGAAAAGTATACTCAAGGAAGGCAGATTAGTATATTATTATTTTTTTTGGTTGGTTGACTGTGGACAAAACAATATATAATTCCAAAACTTTCTGGCGAAATTGATTCTATGAAATGTGCTGAAAGCAGATGCAAGTGCTGAATATCGTCACAAAGCTGACAGAATCATGTAAAAAAGTCCAAAGATGTACTAGCAGGTCTACGATGATCCCTGAAGCCGTGCAGATTCTTTAGAGGAAATTTTAAAGATTGGTAACCCTACAGATATCCCGTTTCAGCATGCGTATAGGGAAGTCAATAAAAACACAAGTTCGTTCATGCAGAATGGAGCCTCATGGATAGATTACTGTGAAGCAACCTTCATTGTAATAAATTTTAGGATGAGCCTGAGTATATGGATTATCCTTCCATGTAGCTGACTAGTAATGAAAAGAACCTTTTGTACAATTTTATGACTCAACAATATAACGTAGATACATTAAAGAAATTCAATTTGAAAGAGATAAGATTCACTTGGAACCAGTGATTTAAAAAATGCCGAGTCGACTAGGAATCATCCGGGTCGACATCGAAATGGGCCACCCAGTGCCGATTCCAGCGAAATCTCGAAAACCGGGTGACCCTAGAGTTGAAACGGCGATTTTTTCTGAAAATCGGCGAGTTGCGAGAGTGAATTGCCCCACTGACGACATGATGATATCATGATCTCGCGACTCACCCCGATGATGTCATGATGACATCATGATTGACTTGATTTTTCTGTTTTTGTATTAAATTCAAATTTCGAGGCCACTTGCTCACATCTGCGTACACGACCCACCTATATGGCCCCACTTGCTTACATATGTTGACAAAGTTGATTGGCTTGCTTCTTTTATAGAGCCTCTCTATCCCACATCTCTTCGATGTGGGACTATTCTTTGTACCTTTGCTTCCTACTAAACCCACGTGAGGTTTAACATACGTTTGAAACTTTATAAAACGTTTGAACTTTAAAGGTAAAAAGCTGTGATGGTGCACGCGCGACAGTGTACGCCCGATGGTCTATGCTTGTCGTGAATAAGAAGGGTGTATGCCCGATGTTGGTAATTAAATTATTTGATAAAAAAAGAAAAAAATTATTAAAAATAATAATTGGGTGCTCACCACCCCTATCTTTCACAAAAAAATTTAAATTTACCTACCCAAATAAAACATAAAAAGTCTATTAGGCTATTATCTCACGGGATTATTTCATTATATGATTAATAATTAATTAAGTAGTTAATTGAGATTAAAACTTAGTACTAGCTCATAGTATATTAAAAAAACAAAAAATAATACTAATTCTAGTCTATTGAATGTTAAAAAATATTAGTTTAAAGGATATTTTAAGAGAGAAAAATAACACTAACTCATACCACTTTATAATTTATTTCTACATTGATAACCAAATCTTTTATTTTATTTATTTTAATTTATTTTCATTAGAAATTATGTAATGTACTATTTTTTATTATAGTTGTCAATAATACATTTTAAATTAGATGATATTATAAAATATTTTGGATTTGTTATTATTTGTATAATAAATAACTATAAAATGTAAACCAACAATTTCAATTTCATTATATAATATTATAGTTAGTTAAGTTGTAATAATTTTAGAATATAGTTAGTTAGGTTGTAATAATTTGGGTTTTGCTTTTTAATGGATTAGGATTCTCCGCCAATTCGAGATTTTGATGGCCATTTTTTCATCGATTTAAACCATTCTTTATTGTAGTCCATGTATGAATATATACTTCATCCATGATAATTCTATGATTTTTTTTTCGTGTGATGTAAATTTAATGGCTAACATAAGTTCATACAGGGAAAGAACAACTCAATATTCGCATATTGATGAAAAAAATGAAAGTTAATAATGTAGTACCCCCATTTCTTATTAGATTCCTAAAAAACAACATTTCTAATGAATTTTAACAATTTTTTTGGATTTTTTTTAAGGCTTAATCCTACCGATTCGGCTGGTTCCTGATCCGAATCGCCGATTCACCGAACCAGATAGGTTTTTGGGGTGCCCAATCCGGGGCACCGATCCATTTTTTAAACCACTGTTTGGAACCCTAGAATAAACGCATGTAAAAAGGGCACACCACAATAGTCACTTTGTATAGATATGAACGCCACCCACATAGGCGCGCGCGCACACAAACACACAGACATGCACACGGGTGCACAGGCACACACACCCACCCACCCACCCACAACACAACCCGCCCTTAATAGAAAAGAACAATGATCATGCATTTCAAGATCTCATAAAATCAGACTATTACACTAAGTTTCTTAATCACTTCGTGATTTGAGTCAACTGAGGCAGACTATCCAAAGACACAAACCAAGTATGTGCATGTGAAGATAAACCTCTGCAACAATAAGAGTCTGAGTAGCAACCGACCAAAAACCAAAAGCAAAACATAGGATAAAAGCAAAACAATCCAGTTTCGAGTCACGGGATATAGATAGTATGAAAGCCACAAGGGTTGTACGTAAGCCAAAGAAGTCATTGATTCGGTTACGAATCATATTGCCTATTTTTGATACTCAGGGTTGAAGAGAACCCTCAGCACCTTGAACTTTCTCACTAGGAGAGACTCCACCAAACAAACTTAAGAAATCAACGGGAACTTAAGAGGAAAATCTCTTCGTACCTATCGCTTGCAATGTCTGACAAGCTCAAGCTTCCAACTAAAAATGAGCTATATAACTAACCGAAAGTATACACCATTTTGTTGATCTGATACTAAGTTAACTCATTCATCTTGATGTTCCCACTTATACCTAATCAATAATGAACCTGAATGCCTGTTTTAGGTCCAATCATTTATTGTTGAGGCAATTCTACTTTTTCATTGGGAACTGATCTAGCTCCTGAGATATATGACATTCTTGATTCTTTCTTTTCCAGGTCTTCCCAGCTCATAAATTCTTTGAAAAAGAGGGAGCGAGTCAAGCCAATGGATCAATGAATAGATAGAGTCAACGGTACGACATATAGCACCACTTACATGTGAATTAGCTTCCATTAAAGCAAAGCACTCTAGCCAAGCTTCCTATACCAGAATGTCTTTGGTAGAAGCTAGTCACTGGAAACAAGAACATTGTATAGGCGAATCCATCATTGATATCAGAAACTCAATAGAAAAATTGCTCAGTAATCTAATATTTAATTAGAAAGGCAAAGCCCATTTCATCAGAAAAATGTGGTCCACAAAAAAAAAAAAAGGACGATTCAAATGTCATGATCCATTATGACAACAAGAATCTACCGAATTCAGAATGTCGACTTACATGTCTTTTGCTGACATCTTCGTAAAACCAATAGCAAGAGCATGCTGCTTTCCTTCAGCCATGATGGCCTGGAAAAACATAAAAGGATTTGTTGCTCAGAAAACAGCAAAATAATGACACAAATTACAGTCGAATTTATAGTTTAGTCCCCAATATGTAATTAATTTATACAACCATAATTTCAGATTACCCAAAACTAACAACCCTTCGATAATATCTAGAAATAGTCCATACCACTGGAGTTTCTTCCAGAACTTCATCATCCAAAGCACCACCTGGGGAAGTAAGACCTGGACACATTATGTTTGCCCCAGCTAGGACAAATTTGATTGCACCCCTATCGACCTGTAGTTTCTTCATTATATGTGGATCTACAAATGAGTAACAAAGACATAAATACATATTCAAATGCATATTTTGTTCGCTTAAAAACAACTTACAGATTGAAAATCAAATGAACCGTGTACGGAAGATCTATGTACCACCCAAAAGTGGATGTGAATTGCCTAACAAAAATAAGCATGTTCTTGAAGAAGTATAAAATCTTGGCTAAGAGCATAAGAAACGCTGTTCTCTTATGAGTACAAAGGTTAAAAAATATGGGAAAAGGAGAACGACATTTAACTATGAGATAGAAATAACTTGGCTTCAAATATGAACATGACACCAATACACAGAAGATTAAAAAAAAAAAATGAAATTCTTTACATTGGTGAAGAAGTCGTAGTGTTGGCATATACGGCCCATCTCGAACATTGAAAAATAGTGGCACATTGTTCACCAAAACCAAATTCAGATGATTTTGACTACAAGAAAAAGAAAGACCACTAAAGTCAAGTAAAGAAATCATATTATGTGAAACAATAAGACGCTAAATAGATAATACTCCATAATTTATAAAAAGAGAGGAAAATAAATACTACAGACTTTGGTTCATATATAAATTCGGGTTCCACATATAAAGAAGGCAAATCCATGAAACATAGTACCTATTCTAGAGCTTTAAGAAAAATTCAGCTGCCCTCCTTGGAAAGCGTGTCAACTAGAAGCAAGAGACAAGCAAAACGCTAACAATAATAAACGTAATGGTCTATAGCAACCAAAAAGAAGGCTTACAAGAAAAACCAACTGAGATCATTCCAAACACAAACGACAAAAGAAAGGGATACACATAAAGAGTCTCCAATTTGGAGCTTATAATTTTTTTTTTATATGATTTGGATGTTTTTGGAAATGATTGGTGAGTATTTTTTGCCATAAACCCTATTTTTATATTTTTCGTTTTTTTTATTTTTTAAATCTTTCCATCTCTAAATAAGCTTTTTTTAGATACATTTTTTAATGATTTTTTAAGCTTATTTGGACTTTTTCAGTTTTTTTTTTTTCTTATTTCCTTCATTATATTTTTTTTTCATATTTTTATTATGTTTTGATTTTTCTAGGGCTTTTTTGCCCTGTACAGGAGGCAAACTCAGACTTGCTCGAGTCACCCGATTCAGCAAGGGCCAAGTACCTTGGACGAGTCGAGTTTCTGAACAATGGATACGCATGTTTCCAGTTTTGAATGTTGAGGAGTCTTTTTCTAGCACTTCTCACGTATGAAAAGACTAAGAAAACTGATCTCATGCACCTCCAAATGTCATTATGTTTGAGGAGTTTGATTTGAGATAGAAGACCCTGACGACAAGCTGTATCCAGCACAAAAGTTCCAGCTTACAAATCATTGCATCAAGTATTCAAACGCAAAATTGCTAGGGCAGCATCTTCTTATTTCTTATGACTTCGAGAGGGAGATCTGCATTTTTCTCCTAATGACTTTGGTATTTTTTGGATTTCCCCAACTATCCAAAAGAGATTATTGCCTCATGAACTCATAGGCTCCTTTTGGAGAGCAGCATCTTCTCCAGTCAATACCCCACAACAAAACTTTAGTGGATTTAAATGGTCCATCATAGGACAAAGAAAGGGTAAATTTGTCTTGTCACGGGCACAAGAGAGAGAAACAGAGAGAGGGGGAGAGACTTATACACCAGCTACATATAAGGGAGGAATTTAAAGAAGGGAAAGTGAAGCTCTTGAGAAAGTAGAAGACTGTGTTCAGAATCTCCCGATTTTATGGATAGAGATGGAAGGTGTCCAGCCAACGGGACATTATCCCTAACCTCAACGGAAGTATACTGGGTTCCTTCTGGAGCTAAAGGGCCAGCATGGTTTCTTTGTCCAGCTCGTTAAAGGTAGAAGTAAACTCATTGGGCAAGAAGGGTACCTTACCTGTGGAATCCAGCAAACATCTTTAAGGACTGCCTAGGTCATGTACCTACATGCTACAATGTGTAAGTTCGTAGATAGATGAACATGAGTCTAATTCATTAACACCTGTTTGGGTTTCCAAGGAAGCCTTCGGCATTAGGGTCCATAGTTCAGAAATCCAGATCAGAACTTGAACTACTTAGCCACCGGGTCAGATCAACCTGGGACTTGATGGATCGACACCACAGGTCAAATATACGGTTACAGAAATTTTAGAAGAATTTATATAGTGTAGAATTAACATATTTTTTTAAAATTGAAATAAACTAAAGGTTCTATTAAAGGAAGACAATCTCGAAGATCTAATTTAAATAAAATTTCATGACTCTAGTACAAAATCCAAAATTTATACGTAACGTATTCATATATGGGTGCGGTTTATATAGAGCCTAGGCTCTAAACAATCAACTAAGAGCCTACCTTCAAATGGTATCAAGAAATGTGGTTTCAATACTGGAAATCTTTGTGATAGCCTTAAAATATATTTTCATCTTTATTTATAAAGTTTAAAGATTCAAACATAGTGTAGAACGTCAGATCTATGAAAATCTTGAAAATTGACGGTCTAAAAATGCGTTACAAAATACACTATTTCCAAAACTTGAAATCCATTTTTTTCTTATGTCCATGCATCTTGATGTCGAGATGATCAATTTGAAGATATTTGGGCATGGCATCAAAACAACCTCTTCCAATGAAAGTTTTTCGGTAGGCTCAAATTTGATTGTTTAGAACCTCGGCTCTATATAAACTTTGCCCTTCATATATATGACTATTTTTTTATACTTTATTTTAAGCTTTTAACTGTGAACTAACAAATGAGCCTGTTTCCTTAGAAAGACAAAATGACAACTGAACTCGTATGTCCTGGTGAGACCCAGTGGGGTTGAATAAAATGTGATTGGATTCGGCCAGGCAGAATCCACATAATGAGTCAAGGGGCACCAGATCAAATCCCAATTTCAACTGGTTTCGGACCTGGCCTAAGCACTTGGTTTGCATTGAAACCAAAAAGATATTTTGAGAGAAAATGGGAGATAGGTTTTAAGAAGTGTGACATTATTAGGGTGGAGTGAAAGACATTACAGATTTGGCAATTGGGTTTTTTATTTTATTTTTTTTTTTGAGAAAACACTCATTTTTTAGTTGGGGCGAGAGAAAATACAAAGAGGGAGGTCAGAGAGAGATAGAGAGGAAGGTTAGAGAGAGACATCACAGAGATCTTGTTGAGAAACATGGGAAATTATAGGAAGAGCTTAAGGGTTTCTCTGGCGCAATTAGACGTGCCCCTACCATTTTCAGATTGATCAGGAAAGGCTTCAGAAACCAAGCTTTCAATCAAGACAACTAGGAAGAAATCAAGGGAAGGGCTAGAAGAGTGGGTAGGAGAGTGGTGATGTCCATGATGATGGCTATGTCTTGATGAAGAATAAGTATGATTTGGTAAGATAAGAAGGGGAATGGAAGGAGTAAGAGATCATTGGGTCAAGGGTTGGGAGCTAAAGAGAGATGAAAGAAGAGTTGGCCAACAGCAAATCCCATCAAATATTATGACAGAGAAACAGGAGGCCGTGTGATACAGCTTTCAACATGTTGGAAAATTCAAGTCAGATTAGAATCTTTGAGAATTCAGATATTAGAAAGTTATTTTACTACTAAAATATATGATTCAAACCTGTCAAACACGATTTATAAACTTATGTAATCAGAATTATATTAGATTCTATATTACCCTGAACTATCAGGGTATTAGGATGATATCAAACGGGCCCTTAGGGATCAGTTATATTAAGAAAGAAAAAATGGTTATGAAGAGAAAAATCAGCCAAAAAATAAGAACCAAAACTAGGTCGCAGTTGTGAATATGAACAGTGATTGTGCACTTCACACTTTTCACTTTTATTTAGATGCATATAATAAACTAAGAAATCAAATAAATGAAAAGGGAAAGGGACCCACCATTTTGCAACTATGAGAGGTGATTTCTTTGGAAGCAAATCCTCCAATACTGGCTCGAGCCCTGGGTACTTTGGAAGCATATAAATATAATAAACATTCATGCCCTTGAGAATCGAGAATGAAAAATGGCGTGCATGTAAGAAATCATCACCAGAAAATTGAAGACCAAACCTCTTCTGCAATGCTCTGTCGGATCTTACGTTGAACAGATGCCTTCACCTGGTTATGTGACGATACATCTTCTGATGAAAACCTAAAAGCGCCGCATATAAGCATAATTAAATAGTCTAGAGAAACTCTAAGGTAACAAGTTACCACTCTGATAACGTATAAAAAGCAAAATGGTATAATATTCCTTGTATAATTACAGTTGTATCTCTCGAAACATTAAGGTAAGTTAGAAACTGGATTTTTCTAGGCTTTCAGATTGGGTATGGATTAGGTAGTTGGGCCGATCACCACAACACATGGTCAAGCCCAAAAACACACAGTCAACAGGAAATTTTTTATCTCAAAAATTTTGAATCATCTTTTGTGATACCCAAGATCAGTTCATTACAAGAGATCAAAATAGGATGATTTCGAGCTCAACAGATGCTCTAAATTAATATAATTCCAAGAACGACTGTGAACCATCCATTTGAGGGAGGATCAGATCTAGGGTTTTAAGAGCTTGAAAGCTTTTTTTTGAATGTTTCACAAGGGGAATCACAGATGACACGAAAATTTCACCCACTGACTATGCTGTTTGCAGGCTCAACCTTGTATTGACCTTGGTCGAGCCAACGAACAAATCCTTTTCCTTATAGACTTTTGATGATACAACAAGGATCACTTGATTTAGTTGATATGAACACTAAAAATGGTGCCAACTAGGCTGATAGCTCCATGATAAAACAGTAACAATTTATAAACATGCGCTTCAAAAAAAAGAAAGCTTTAGGATTCAAAGGAAATTAAACCGCAATAAAAAGCTTTTGAACACTTAATCATAGAGTACAATGGAAATTCCCAAATAAAATGAACTACACAGAAAAAAAGAGAGAAATTAACTCCCGAATAATACTCTTCTCAATATTCCATATTATTTCCCTACTTTCTCTCATTGCATACACAAAGACACAATTACGAGTTTCTGCTAGAAATACACTTGCCAACTACGAAAATTAGTAAAAGGTAGGGAGAGAAAGCATAGATCCAACTGCGAGACTTTGTACGGAACAAACATTATATAAGGTCCTGAATCCATTAGAATATGTCATTTACAGGAGCCCTATAAGGATTTTCAGTGTGCATCTCGTAAAACAGTTATAAGATTCAAAAAGAAAACGAGAATGGCAATGAGAGTGAGGACCTTCAAGCCATATCAGTTATCCCAAAAGAATAATGAAAAATATGTGAAAAAAGCAAAAGGTAAAAAGGGAAAGAAAAACACAGGCTTACTTCTTGAACATATTTGCAGAGATTTGAAGCTGGAAAGATGCAGAAATGGTTCAGTAACTCTGTTTAAACCTTTCGGCACAGAGAGCTTTTCGATGGTTGGGAAAGGGACGTAGTTAGAGAGAGAACGGAGCCACTCGCTTCGCGTGATTAGTAAGCCGACTTAGAGAGAGAGAGAGAGAGAGAGAGATTTGAAACCTACGTGAATCGGGAGACACATGGATATAGAAAGCATCACCGTTAAAACAGATATTTGACGGTGATGAATTTAGAACAGCGAACCTCCAGCATGTCACTGTTAAATTATACGGACAACTCTCATACCATCACCGTCCAACTGATTTATGGGACAGTGATAACCGTATGATCATAAGATAATCATGACATAGTGCTATGGAGAGAGCTTTCTTCTAAATTATGGAGAAAGACAATTGAGAAGTAAGCTGATTGCACGAGAAAAACATAGCCAAAACATGTAAGAGGATGCACAAAGTATCATGAGTTTGTGTTGATCAAGTTTCTAAGATTGTGTTGATCAAGGTGAATACGGGGATATGGTCTAAGACCCGAAATGATATAACACGGCCGATGTATTTGGGTTTGAAATGAAAATACGATATGTGTTCATTTTCTGATAGCACAAGAATGCATTCATTTAAAAAAAAAAGATATACTAGGTATCATTTACGAAATAGATTTGGAAAATATTGCGATTGGGTGGACTAGGTTGTTTGTATTAATATCATAGGTGTAATAGGCTTCGGCGTTAGGTGGACAATGGATTTGAGGTGCATCTCTGATAAATATTTATCCATTGTTACCAATGGAAAGCCTAAAAGCATCCAAAGGAGTGAGACAGTGAGGCTAGATTATCCCATGTTTCTTGTTCTCTTAACTGTGATGGTAGAAGCCTTTCATGATGTCTACTCGACAACATGGAAGCTTTCAGGATTTAGAACTTTCCGACATGTGTGACGTATTTTATACCTTTAATATGTTGATGCCACGTTGATTTTTAAAGACACATATAAGGATATTATTTTGGAATTTACACATATTTTTTAAATATTTAGAACTATTTTAGGGTTAATGTTAATATGGAAAAGTGATGAAGACGGGCAGACATGGACCGTCTTCATAGGGTGTTGAGTGGATCATTATCCTATGATATAACTTGGTATGCATGTGACTGAGGTGGGTGTTCAAAGGTCCATAACGGATCCAATCATGCAAAGATTCCAAATTAAATTAGATTTAATAGAAAGCTCAGTGCTCGTCATTGGGAGGGAGAATAACCCTAATACAGTCCACCTTTTATAATGTCCCTATTTACTATATACTCTTATATTGGAGGAAACAAGTTATGCGTCGGGGGCCATATACATTTGTGCCCCTCGAGGCATAAACCATCCATCCAAAGATGGATGTAAATGATGGGCCTTGCAAGACAAAGACAAAATCAATTACTCAAATATTTCCTTCTAAAAAAATACCATTTTTATTTTTATTTTTTTACACATTAATAATCTCCATATTACGAATTGTATATTCCTCAAAAATCAAGGCCAAAATTTAAAAATGGATTATTAAGGGGGTCGTATTTCTACATATGAGTCCAAGGACTCATAGAAACTGTGTTCTTTTTAGAATGCTATGCTCGATGGTTAAAACTCTTGAATGGCTAACACATGATATTCAAGTTTAAAAGTGACAGAAGTGCATAATATAGATAAAAATAAAGAATAATTTACTTACACTACAAAACAATAACTCCAGAAAATAACTTACAAGTGTATATCAACTTGTAGATTAACTTACATTTTACTATAATCAACTTTCTTAAAAAAGTAAAATGAAAAAAGAAAAGGAAACCTCCACAGGGCGCTTTAATATAACATGCCAAAAAAAGAGAGCATACATTAAATACTAAGGAAATGACAAATGAATCTTTTTTTTGAGGGAGGAAATGACAAATGACTCTTAGCCTTTCCCTAAGACAAACAAAGCATTGATCTTCCTCCTCTTCATATTGTGCTAGCATAAACTCTGCAAAGTTCTCAAATGATGCATCAAAGAAGTTAATTTTTATCTCTTACTTCACCAGCTTCTGCTTCATTAGACCTTAATCTGCCTATTCATTTTAAGGCATGCCTCAACAACCTCTAGGTTTGACTCATGTGAATCTATTCCTACTATGTGTTTAGCTTTCAGGGCCTCCTTATCCCAATCAGTCCTCAAAACTACTAGGACAATAGACATTGAGCATACCAATTGAGCACATAGGAGCCCATAGCACAAACCCACAAAACCCATGTCAAAACCAAAGGCCAAAGCTATGCCAATTGGGGTGCCCACCAAGTAAAAAGAGTAAAGATTTATGGTAGCACCAATTGCAGGCCTAGCACTCCCCCTCAGCACCCCACAAGCTGTAGTTTGAGGGCAATTTCCAATCTCACAAAGCCCAATCACTGGCAAAGCACCCATAACCAACTCTAGAACCTCCTCATCATTAGTGAATAAACCTGCCCATTGTTTCCTGGCCAAAATTGTCCAAGTTAAGCACAAGAGAGAAGCTATGACGGCGAGAGACATGGCAACCCATGTGGCTATGCGAGCTCTATCGGGCCGGTCGCCTCCTAACGCATTCCCTACTCGGGTGCTTGCTGCCGCACTCAGCCCAACCGGAATTGTGTACATCAATGAAGTTGTCTGTATGATGATACCGGCCGCTGCTAGGGTAACTTTCGGGTTGTATAGGTAGCCAGCTAGAAGTGTCATTAGCTCATACCTGTAAAGTGTTTGGCCAAAAGTATTGGTTAGTTCATAAAGTTTAGCAGATCCACCTAGAAAAGCCAAACATGTCTTGGAATAAACCAATCTGATGCTTGTTATTACATGCAACTGATTACGGTGCAAATATGAGAAAGTGAGACGATGAATCAAATGCCCAAATGTATGGCGCATTGCTGGTTCGGAGCCATTAGTTAGGCCAACCTTGGCCCTAAAAAGGATAAGGGTATGGGCTTGTATCCTATGCTATTGTTTGGCTTTGAAACACTTTCCTACAGCTTTCTTCAACCATCCGATTCCAACAGTGGACGATTGGAGTGTGTTGCTCGCCTGGTCAAAGACCTCAAATCTAATGGATTTTCAGTTGAGGCACACCCCGACCCTCCCTTATTGAAATCTGAAGGTTGGCAAGGTGCTAGGAAACTGTCTAAAACCCAAATGACAACATACGATACTTCTCTGGTGAAAGCAAAAAATTTGCTTATAATTTAGTTTCAACATAAACACAGTAAGAACAGTAAGAGTTCTCAATAGATGTTAAATATAGGAAGTTTAGATTGATTAAGGAATGGCAACTTTTGCATTGCTTACTAGATGTTTAAATGTTTTAGTGGTACAAATACATAGGGATGATTTAGCAAAAGCTTGTTTATTTCCAAATTTAAAATCAACTTCTTCTTTCAATGAAAGGATAGAGTAAGATGGGCCTCACAAACAAGCCTCAAGCACATGCATTACGTCCATATGATGCTCAATTCAATTGATATTACTGTGGCCCTACCGTTGGTTTCGCCAAAATAGTATAATAAGCAATTACTAGGGCTTGAAATGGGCAAAATGACAACCATAAAACCACAATTTTATTTCTGTTACTTTATCTGATTTAGGATCATCTTTTTTTACTGTTGCCCTACTGTTTTTTTCTCACATGTACCTATCATTTGGTAAATTATCCAAGACCTTTATCTCATATTTTATTAAGATAGTTTATCTCATACAACCTTTAGGGTTAAAGTGAAGATTAAGCACCTCATTTCCTTACAGATTGCATTACCTCTTAAAAACAAAAAAGGTAGCAACAAAAATTGAGGATTGAATATGAAAATCTGACAAAAGGTTTTGGTGCTGCTACATTGAATCATTTTCTTTTCTCTAAAGGCATGTTTGATTGGTGGTGAAGGCAGCGGCCACACCACACCTTTCCCAGCGGCCAACATATTTTAACTTGTTTTAGATTACTTTCAAGGGGTAGTCGAAAAAAGATAAAAATATATTTTATGGCTAACATAAAGATTTTCATATTGAAACAATATTTTTCGACACTATTTGAAGGTGTGCTTTATTTTAATTTTTTAGAGCTTCAGCTCTATACCGCACCCGAAAATCTATTTATGTAAATAAAAGAGCACGCATTGGAGGAATAGTTTTTTCATGAGCGTAAGAGGGGTTACTTGTAAGCGGAATAGTGGCAAGGGGTTATTTGACAAACAATTTCTTTGGGTTTTTTTCTTTTAATCGAATAAAAATTACTATATGCTTTATTGGTCTTTCCTATGTAATTTTTCATAGTTTCTATTTATCTCATCGTTTGTAAACTAAACTCACTTCTTGAATCCTCTCCGTCTCTTCCACAAATACCACCTCTCTCTCTCTCTCTTAAAGACAAAATCCGATGTTGCACTTTGAGTCTCACACTCACGCACTCACACGCAGACACAAACATTCAAATATTTTGTTTTTCGAGCATGTACGGACACTTTTGGGAGGTTATAAGTTTGATGATATTGTTGCTATAAATTATGAGTATCACCTGGATAATTTTTTTCTTTAGCTGCCCTCTTGTTCGATAATGACAACACTCGACATGAAGGCCTATTCTTTCCGCAACGCAAAGAATTGTCTAGCGTTCATATCACCGGACAACTAGTTTGTTTGTTGAAGTTTGTGTCTGGTAGTGTTGATAGCGGACAGTGAATACTATCCGATGTTCATATTACCGGACAACTCCCTAAAAAGCTTTAAAACCATGTGTGCCCTTTTCGACCCGTCATTTTTCTTCTCTCTCGTTCTCTTTTTCCTCTCTCTCTCTACAACCCAGAGCCCTCTCTCTCGCTCTCTTTTTCCACAAATATAAAAAGGAGCAAATTAGCTACATGATTAAAGGGCCAAATGTCTGTTGTTGTGACTCAGATGGCTGCTCCACAGAGAAAGAGGGCTTTAGGTTAGAGAGGGAGGAAAGAAAGATCATGAGAAAAAAAAAAATGACAGGAAGAAAGGATTGATTCGGTTTTTGGGATTTTAGAGAGCGGTCCAATAATACGAACATTAGACAAGAAAGAAGTACACTACTTAACAAAGAAGCTAGATGTCTAGTAATTGGAAAACCAGACAACTCTTTGCATTTGAGATTGGAACACCATCCAACTCTTTGCATTTGAGATTAAAGCGCCCTCATGTCCAGTATTGTCATTTTTGAATAAAAAGACAATTGAGGAATAATAATAATAATAATAATAATAATAATAATAATAATAATAATAATAATAATAATAATGATAAGGAGGGTCATAGTCACAATTTTGTCCTTCAAACGCTAATAAACCCCCGAAAAGTGTCCGTAAGCAATTTGCTCTTTTAACTCACTCTCTAATTGAGTTTAAGTTGGAAAAGCACATACCACCACCACTCCAAGCACACTCCCACGCAACTTGGCACAGCCATCCTCATCAACTCCTTCCAACCCCCCTCCTCTCCCCCTCTCAATCCCGCAACCCGTGAACTCTTCCCTCTTTCTACACACACTGACATCAACCCCGCCACCCCCGCCTCCGCCAACCACCCCGCCACCGCCACCCCCTTCAGTTCCATTCCCACTCTAAACACCAAAATCCAAGCAAGTAGCAAGTGCACCACTACCCCCACAGCCCCACACCACACCATCGCTCCCACCCACCCCCTACATCTCATATACACCCTCATCGGAAGCCCCAGGCACGCTGCTGCTAGGGTGGGTAGTGCTGCTTTGCAGTACACCGCGGCCACGGTCGCAACTTCCGAGTCCTGTCCCAGGGCTAGGGCAAGGGGCTTCATGGCTAGCCACAGTGGTGCAATGACAAGGGCGAAGATCGCGAGGAGGGCCATAGTTCGAAGAAGGGTCGTATAGAGGAGGAGGAAATTGTTGGAGCCAGCCGCTTGGGTGCATAGGGGCTCCATGCCGAGGGCGAGACCGGAGAGGAGAGATTGTGAGGTGACGTTGATGAAGGCGAGGGCGAGGGAGCCACCTGCGAGGTTGATGGGGCCAAGTAGGCCAAGGCAGAGAGCCGAGATGAGGCCGCGAGCGTGGCCGGTGAGGGCAGTAGCGGTGGAGGGGAGGGCAATGAAGCCGATGCGCTTCAGCTCATCCCACACCTGAGAATTTTATGTTAAAACAAGGCAATCTTACATAGATGCTCTGTGATGCATGAGCTTCATTTTGAATTTTTATGGTATTTTTTTTAGAGCAATTTACGTATGAACAAAAAAAAAAAGGCAAATTTTAAGCGTAAATTAAACGGAAGGTCTGCCATGTAAATTTATCAAAATGCACATGACCATGAGTAGAAATGCTTGAAACAAGTAAAATGTTAAGCAGTCCATAAGTTCAAATGTATTTTGGTAGTTTCGCTTTTTCATTTTGGTATTGTATACTAAAAGATTTTTAAACAAAAATACAAGAAGGAGACAATTGTTTTTAGGCATCCGGTGGCTGGGAGTGTGTTACAGAGTTGAGGTATATTTACGCTTCACTAGTAGTATTATTCGAGGAGCCTGATACCAAATCTAACCGATGACTGTGACCTTCTTGCCCGAAGGTAGATGATCTCATGATTAGATGTATTTGTGCCCTTTTGGGGTAAATATAAAAAAAAAAAAAGAGACATGTAAGTGATGAATTGGGTCCCTACCCTTTGATGAGAATGGAGCCAGAGATTATATCATAGAGCTTGTTGATACTACCGCCAAGGCCCCAACTGAATGCATTTGTGCCTTTGAAGATTGAATTCCCGTATTCCCGAATAAGAGGCGCACCAAAGTATAAATGAATGATGTCAAACTTCCCTATTCTTTTTTGGTATTTTAGGATTTGAATCTTTGATTTTCCTTATAAGCACAAGTGACAGGACTAAAGCCCCCAGAGACCTCAAAACTTATGCTAGGCCCTTCTTTAAAAGCATATAAAAGTGGACACTGAAAATGATAATGATTAATCTAGGGTTGGAGTAAGCTAAAGTGAAATATGATATTTGCAAGATGTAAAGATTTGGAATTGGGCTTGATTGATTATGACGTTGAAAATTGTAATATCATGTCCTTAGTTTGGGTCTTACTATTGGGTAATTAAAACTTGAGTAGTTTAGTGGGGAAAGGGTCTTTTAACTGGGGTAGAAATTGAACTTGAGATGTCATGTTGTGGCTCCTACCCACCTTGACCACCTAGCCTTGAGCCCACATATTTACCCAAGAAAAAAAGCCTTTGATCAAGCAAGCTTATTTCATGAATTTAAATTCTATTTGAAAGCGGATACAAAAGGAAATCCCCATTTGCCCAGAAATATGAAGGGAAACTAATCTAACTATTTAACATTTTGCCCTTTCTTAATTATTCCATGATCATGTGTACTTTGCTAGGAATTTTTACATTAAATCATAAAATATAAGTAAAATGATAAATAGTTCATATCTTTAAGTATATCTTGATAGATTTGTAATATGAAAGGTTCAAGATGAAATGTCATCCTATAAGAGAATTGAGCTGTGGGATTACAGGCCCCTACCCGTTTGTTTTTTAAGAAATAATTAGTGGTATTCAAAGGTGTCAGTGAGAATTGAAGCCTAGGGCATTAGGTGAAGCTACCACTATGACCCTAACCCCATTCCCACAATAGAGGTGTTATTTGATACTGGAGAGAACATACATAGCATTATGGTTTCGGTGTGGTGTTACATGATATTTTTGTGTTTGATTGTGTGGAAGGGAAATATTAATAGGGCCCACTCGTAATGTAACCGAAACGAACCTAGCCCGCCAAACACCAATTAACGCGGGGCGGTAAATGGTGCTCCCCAATACTAACTACCAAATGGGGTTGGAGCATTGGTGGTTAGGGTGGCGGAACTTCCCATCTTCAATTTCCACTGTTAACATGTAAAAAAAAAAAGGGCAGCCTAAAAATAAAGAAGGCTAACCAGTCTAAACCCTAGAGATTTGGATATTGCATGCTAGACCATTATGCAAGTGAAGAAAGCAAATATACATAAAAGGTGGCATAGGTTTGAAACTCTTCGTACCTCCTCTACGGGTGGCCATCTTTCTAGGTCCTCTGTTTGCGGTGCCATTGACAAAAAAAGAGTTTTTCTCTTGTTATGGTAAAGAGCTCTTTTTGCACTAATTCTTGGTTTGTGAATGATGCAAATGGGGCATTAAATAGAAAGGGGGAAGTTAAAGAACCACTACGAATTAGCTCTATCCTTGTTGTGGGCCTCTTTTATTATCCACACACACTCAAACAATATTATTTTCCAAATTAATTTTCCCTGATCTCAATTTCATGGGGAGTTGGTTGGAAAGAAACTAGAAAATAACCCGAAGGTCCATCTACATTTCAAGAAAAGGGTTGGGGTCGTCCAAATCACGTTGTGGTTTTCATTCCCTAACACCACCCCACTGGCACTTTCAAAAAACTAACTTCTAAACTATCTAATAAAATAAGGACTGCCTTCCCCCATTGAATTACCCAAAGAAAAAAGTTCCATGTACATTTCCAAATATATGCTTTATTTTGTTAGGTAGAAAAAGGAATGTTTTATCTTAGTAATTGTTTTCTTTTGCTTTCCTTCTATTTAGAGTTGGCTTCTAAGGTCGATATTCAACTGTTTGGTGTATCTCTATTCTAATGTAACTTTCCTTCAAACTTTTTAACCAATTTCATATATGTTGGACTAAATATTTTCACACTCCATATGATCTCTTACTAATGGTTTTCATTTTTCTTTGAAAGTAATAGTTTTCATTTTTCTCCATTTTCCTCTACTAACTAAAAGAAAAACTACCTATATTATCTCTCTTTTTTTTAGTCAATTTTCATGTTATTTTAGCGCCCAATTTCCTCTCTCTCTCCACTACATAACTATTAATGATTGTTGGTTATCTTTTAAATACTTTTTTGAGATTTTTCATAAACACATGTAAATTTGGATCAAAAGCAAAGCAAAATTCTTTTGTGTGTGAAGAATGGGGTCCTGCTCAAAGCCACCGCGAAAGTGGAAAAAAAAATTTCTTGCATTTTTCAGTTTCAAAAAATCGAACCAATGAAATATGATGGACACTTCAGGGAAAAATATACAAACAGATCAGTTGCTTTTTATACAAGAAGGTCACAATAACTCTTGTTACTTTGATTACAAATTGAATGGTTGTAGGAATGTCATTGAAAAGACTCAAAGTTCAACAAAAAAAAAATTCTTAGACTTTGTCACTAGCCCAAGCTTTTTAATTTGACATCAAATGAGCATGGGTGATTGTGAACTCCTTGTAATAAAGATAAATAATTTCATTGTATACATTCCCATACTTTAAATATCAAATCTATGGTAAAAATTAAGACAATAACCATACCTTTCATGCACCACCACTTCAATTTATTCAATTTCTTTGTTACTCTTCCGCTCTATTTATAACAACTAGAAAAATCTACAAAGCACGCCATGATTTCAATTTTAAGAAACAAAATCTACAAAGCACACCATGATTTCAATTGTAAGAAATTGGGTTACCAAATACTTTGGACTATGGATCTCATTTCATCATAAATAATTCTGGTAAAATTGTTTATCCAGAAAATAAATGTATACAAAGAGACTATTTACTTTTGATACGAGGAGGTCATAATTATTACTGACCAAAGGATGTGAAATCGGATAGTTGAGGATGCATCCTTGATTGGGCACAAAGTCCAAAATAAAACTTCTCAAATGTTTTAAGACAATTCAATTTATTGGATTTTCTCCTAATAATAATAATAATAATAATTTATTGAATTTGACGTCCAATAGCTAAAAATGAATAGCCTCAGTGTATAATTCCAAAAAAAAAATGCCAACAAAACTCAAGGATCTATTGATCCCATGTTCCATTCCCCTCCGTGTATGGGGCATGTATGCGTACTCTTGATGCGATTGAGGGTTCTCTAGCACCAACCTTGTTAAAATAATTACTATGGGTGCCATTTGTGTATAGCCAAGACTCTAAACAATCAAAGTAAAGCGCACGTTCAAATAGTGTCGAGAAATGTGGTTTCAATACTGGAAATTTTTGTAATAACCTTAAAATATATTTTCATATTTAATTATAAAATTTAAAGTTTCAAAAATAGTGTAGATCGAGCAGATCTATAAAAATTTAAAAATTGACAATAAAAAATATGTTACAAGATGTACTATTTTCAGAACTTGAAATCTATTTTTTTCTCATGTCCATGCATCTTGATGTCTAGATAATAAATTTGAAAAATTTGAGTATCGAAACAACCTCTTTCAATAAAATTTTTGAGGCCTGACTCTAATTTAATTGTTTAGATCCTCGGATCTATATAAAGTTTTTTCAAATACTATTCATAGTAGAGAGAGACAGCTCTTTGATTACCATACATTTGCCTAGAGAGATAGAGAGAGGGATTTCCTTGATTAGAAACTAGTTGCCCAAAGGGAAAGGATACAAGTGCCGTCATGTCGGCCTAGCATAGGAGGTGGTGGGGCAATGCAAATTACATAGAAATGACCACCAAATTCTGTACCCCTTTATTTGAATCACAACCTAACATCTCTAGACTTAGGAACTTCTTTGGGTCTAAAAGAACTCCACCCTCTGGTAAAATATCTAAAATACCCCGAATGAAAAAGAGAATAAAAACTAAAAACATGTTGCAAGATTTCTCCTTGGGTGAAAGGTAATGTGGTCATGATTTTAAGGGGAGTTTGCGATTTATACTATCATCAATTGTGCCAGTCCCAGGACGTGTTAACTTCAACTTTGAACAATTAATTTAATGGCATTGGACCTCTAGGCTCGATAATTGGGCATAATAGTTGGGGATAATAACTATTAACCGGTTGAAATTCTTTACAAAATCATTAAAAAAGTTAAAACATCACGATATATGTATATAAGGGTTTGCTTTTAAATTTTTATTTCAATCAAGTATGTCTTAAACAAAAAATTTAGAAGTTTCTAAATTACCCTTGTTCGGTGATGGGAAGCCCAAATAATTTTGTTGGTAATTTTATACCTAAAGAGACATTGACAAAATGATAAAAATACCTCTATTTGGAGTTTCCAAATAATAAATAGTATGTAAATGCCCCTCTTTTTTGAAATGAGGAATTAAATGGGCATTTACATCATTTAACATAGAGCTGTATCAAATAACATAATTATCCCTTATTGTTCCTCATTTCAAATACTAAACAAACTATTATTTATTTTAACAGGAGTACTTATGTTATTTTATTAATGCCTCTTTGGGGCTAAAATTATCAAAGTGCCCAAATTATTCGGGCTTCCAAAACCAGATTGACGCAATCTAGAAATTTGTAACATTTTTTTTAGGACGTACTTTATTGAAATAGAAATTTTAAAGCAAATCCTCAAATGTACTTTATTGAAATAGAATTTTGTTAGGGGTTTCAACCCTTAAGTGATTTTTTTCCGTAAAAGTTATAGGCTAGGCCTTCTTAGCCTCATTTGAGGTGGGATTATATACTATGACATCCTTTAACTTTGGCGGTAACAATTAAAATTATTTGGCCGAAATTGAGCAACCAGACACGTGTTACAAAGTTCGAGATATTTTTTTTGGATTTTAAATACGTCCTATAACATACTTCCAACCATCCAAGTTCACATCTAACAAGCCAAAGGCGATCATGACTTTCTTGTACCAAGGGTAAACTTACTATTTTAAACTTTTCCACATGTTCACTGTATTCGAATGGAGATTTGGGGTGTTTTAGTCATTGTTGCTTACCCTGCTATATTAATAAAGGGATTTCAGGTGGCTTCTTTTCATGTGATGTTGCCCATTTCCTCAATAATGATTCTAATCTAATCACTTCACCTCTATTACATTTATGCAAGTCCCATCTTGAATGAAATCTTAACTTCCCAAGGAAATTCAAAGTAAGCACGCACCTTGTCCACCAAAGGTGTAGCAGGCCATTTTCTAGGCTTCCCTTGTTTACTTCGTTGGTGTTTGGTAGTACACAACACTACCCCTTCTAGAACAGTCAACACAAGAAAAATCAAATAAGCAATAAAGCTTGAAGATTATCAAGTGACCCTCAGATTAACTAAGAGAACATTATGTGTCATGTAAGTGACCCCGTAGTTTGCATATAACCAATACTGAATAAGAAAAGGAACCATGATTAATAGTTTCATATATGTCAGGTAGAAAGCATAATAAAAGCAACTATACTTGGATGGTAGTAGTCGCTAATTGATTCATGAATAGCTGGAGCACACCAAACAATATATTTTACTACTCAAGAGTTGCGACTTGGATCGAGTGGAAGGCTTTAAAAAGACAACGGAATGCCTAAAAGGACATATGGATCTTACTGAGAGTATGACCCTTAATAAAGCAGAATGAAAGAATATAATTCATATAGCCGACACGAAATAGTTGGAATAAAGCTTTGATAATGACGATGATGGAGCGAGCAAAACAAGTACAAACTAACTGGCCCCTTGATACATGTGCATGTAGACATACATATATCTACATATTTATGGATGCAACATAGTCACACTTTATAGCATAAACACATTCATGCATGAAAAAGAATTGAAGAGATGTCCTAAGTGCCCTTCTATGCATATGTATCCAAATGTGGGGTAAGGAAATGCCCATCCCTTCATTTTTCACATGGGGTCCCGTGTCCCATCCATGCTCATCTCAGATTTAGTCCTTTTTCTTTGGAGCCAAGCAAAAATGTGATTTTCAAAAGGCTCTCTTTATATCCAAAAGAAAAGGTTCTTTCAATCAACTCCACAAAATTCAGACCTTTCACATGCATTGTTTAAAGATAATTTCTCTATTACAAACAGATGAGACCCTTGAACAGAAACTCTAATAACCACACATTGTTCTAGGAAGAATTCTCAGGAAAAGATGATGAGAAATTAGCATTATATTGTTGACAGCTTCAAAAGAGACCAACATGCACACTCAAATTGAAGGCATGGATAATTAATGAAAACAAGATCTGAACTATGGGGAAACAGCTAAATGTTCCCCTCAGGCTTAAAATCTAGCTTCTTTACACTATAGAAATTGCATGTCTAGTGTTTACCACTGGCATCGTCGGCCCTTATTTACTGCTAGGATGTTGTTAGTGACTGATGTAAAAGCAGAATGTTTCATCTCTACCATCCATTGAGCAGAATGTTTCATCTCTACCATCCATTGATGAAGGATGATGATGGCTGATCTATGGACCATATATGACCCACAAAGTATAAATAATATGTTGTCCTCCCTAAATGGTAAGAGCAAGTGCTCCAGCCTTTACATCTTTATGTACCACTAGGCCAGGAGGCCAAACTATTCATCATATGATCTAGTGGAACTATAATGCCAAAGAAACGCCTTGTTAGTTTCCCCAATTTGCCATGATTGCCTTGATTTTAATAATCACCAACCTCAGGATGAGTTGCATAAATGTGAATTATCTTAGGCATTTAAAATAGGGTGCGATTTGTATAGAGCCGAGGCTCTGAACAATCAAAGTAAAGCCCACCTTCAAATAGTGTCGAGAAATATGGTTTCATTATTGAAAATCTTTGTGATAGCCTTAAAATATATTTTCATCTTTAATTATAAAATTTAAAGCTTCCAAGATAGTGTAGATCGAGCATATCTATGAAAACTAGAAAGTTTTGAAAATTGACGGTCCAAAAATACCTTATAAGTTGCACTATTTCCAAAACTTGACAAAAATTAAATAGTCACTATCTTTTGACAAAAATACCCCATACTAAACACATGTTACTTGGATTTAGTAGAGATGAAAAAAAGAAAAACATGCATTTTAATGGGTATTCTTGTAAAAAAAGTTAATTTTTTTACATGGGGTTGGATGCAAAAAAATTAAAAATAAAAAAAATAGCCCTGGGACTAATGATGTAGTTTAAAAAATGCTGCCTAAAAACATTGGCCAGGAGCGTTTTTATAATCTCTCTTTTTTAAGTAGTTCGGTAGTCAAAGGACTTGAACTCGAGATATACCACGTCAACTGAGAAGTCTCCATTCCAGGCCCAATTCCTAGTAAAAATCTTCTTTTCTTTTTTTTTATCATTAACGGTAATTCCATTGAGAAAATCTGAAATTTTTTTATAGCCAAAGTACATCACACTAACCTTTCTCTTTTTAGTTTTCTTGTGTTTGTAAGGGGCTGTTTGAATCCATGGAAAAATTTGAAATTTGACATAGTTTATCTTCAACTCATGGTGGTGTTTTGGTAGAATTAATTTTATTTTATAAAATGAGCGTCTCCGAATTCTAGCTAGAAATCAAGTTCTGAAGATAAAAGCAATGCTACAAATTTCCTTATTTTTTTGTTAGAAAATAAAAATAATAATATCCAGGTAACATGCTTTTTGTTCCAAAACTTCCACCCGAACACAAAAATATGCCATCTCTATGGAAATACATTTCTGAGAATGTATTTCCAGATATCCAAACGACCTCCATCTCTCACTCCACTCCCAACGTGACAGAGAACCATGCAATGCAGTGCTTCTCACGCTGCATGGCCAAAAGCCACGAAAAAGGCTGTACACCATCTTCACCCAAACCAGGGTCAAGACCAAAAGCCACAAAAGAACTATACACCATCTCTCTCTCTCTATACAAACCCAAGAAACTCCCATCCTCGATTATGAATACAGCATAGACTCTCATTCAAGTTCGTCTACAACCTTGTTCACCCTTTTCTACTCACTGTGCTCTTCTTCCGAGTCTTGAACAACCTTCTTCCTTTTCACCCCCTTGCTCTTCACTCTCATCCTCACTTGATCATCAGCCCCTGACTCAGGGTCCAGCACTCCATTTTCAGCACCAGGCTCAGGATCAGAACTGAGCCTTTCACATTCTTTTTCCTCTTCTTCAGATTCCTCTCTTGAATCTTCAGGGGTCGAAGGACTGGACGCATGCATTGGCCTTTCTTCTTGATTAGCTTTATCTCTTGTATCCAAAATCTTGAAGTCCCTTGCCGTGCTACGCTTAGCATGCCTCAATAAGTTCACTTTGGTGAGCTTGCTAAGTTGGATTAAATACTTCTCGTAGTCTTCGATTTGAAAGATCAGGTTTGGGATGCACTTGTTCTCTCTCTTGATTTTGTTAGCCATGCCCCTGTTCTGCATATTCTCTTGCTGCTCCTGAAAAGGATACCCACGGTCACGTAAAAATATCTCGGCAATAACTTGAGGGACTAAAAATTGGGGAGCTTCAGAATTCAGAGATAAAAGAGCAAACACTGGGCGCACCACACAATAAAAGATTTCCAAGATGCTAGAACAGTGGTAAATGATTAATATGCATTAGTTTTCAAACAAGAACCCACAGTTCCAGGATTATGTTGTGTTCAAAGTCCTTCAAAAATCATTGATACTAATGAGTCTTATTTTGCTACTAGCTCTCTGAAAGAGTCAGAGACAATTGTCGTTACAACATAAAAGATTTTATGTTGGGGTGGAACCTCCATGAAGCAAAACCATTTTTAACATATTAGGTGATTAACTGACCAATGGCCCATTTAATCAGTAAGATTACATCAGGTAGCCCATTTATTCAATCAGACTGTATAAAACAGTATATTATCAACATAATTAGATCCCCAAAATTGGTCTTATGACTGATCATCTGATCGATCCCTTACTTCTATTTTCACCAGTTCTAATTATTGGGACACTGAGCAAGCAATTCCCACAACGTCAGTGCAAGAAAAAGAAGACTAAACTAATTCAGAAGCCCAGAAAAGCATTACAGAGTACATGACCTACCCTTTGCACCACAGCCACAAACTTGTAGAGAGGTCCAGTGAGCTTCTTGCAGGTCACTTCTGCAAGAGTCTGAAACTTAATGCCGGGCAAAGCCTGTCTATAACCTTTAGGAGCAATTCGAAGCTTTGTAATCCGGGCCAAATGCTTGTAAAACTTTGCGGCCAATCTTAGCAAATACTCTGCTTGAGGATCTGCACCAACAACTATCTGTTACAATATATATGAGAATTATGTGTCATACCATATCTAGTGCATATGGCCATTGAATAAAAATGGGACACACCATGTTAGAATTTAAAAGAAGTCAGAGAACAATGAAGGGAACATAAGGAGGGTTGCTGCAATAGAGAGAAACATACAATAGTTTGTGAATAAATTTATTTTTGATAAATATCAATTATCTTACCCTTAAGGGACATCTCAGTAAAGCATGACAAAACCTGCACGAGTGATTCTGCCCTGGAGTACAGAGCATCTTCCAACATTAGTTTTGGTGTCTTCCCTCCACACTGCTCACTGCTTTTGTGACGAAATGTTTCCTCAAGGTTTATGGAGAAGAGCGCCTTAAGCTTTGGAACCATCCATTCAAAATCAATAATAACTGATTCGATCAAATTTAAGAGCAGGGTGGCTATTGCATTAGCAGTTGAACGATTTATAATGGGATAAGTTTCAGAGTTTTCCAAGGGATCCATCTCCTCAGAACCAATAACTTTCAAGAGCTCGGAAGCCATTCCTCGAGCCAACTTCAAATCATTTTGTGAATCACTCAAACTAATAACCAAAGAAACCAAACTTCGGGTAGCCTTTACATTCTCTACTTTCGCATTTCTGCTGATGGAATCAGCCCAGGCACCATGTGAATTTCTTCCATCACTTGGCAACTTGTGTGCCAGAAGCAATGCTATATCTGAGAGAACCTGAAAAGGAGGCCAATTTTCCCACTAAACTGCCATGGTCAAATCAAATACATGGAGAAGTTGAAATTTTATTTGGGCATAAATCACATTTTAATAACACAGATAGCATACGTAGAGATATTATAGCTATAGAATTATGAAAGAATCTAGAGTTTAAGGAAATAAGCTTGCTTAAAATCACCATGTTACTTGGGAAGTAATGATTAGTGGAAATCTAACCAAGTTGTTGTGATGAAATACTATTGAGGTTTTTCTTTTTTTAATATTGGTTAAATACTTTTGAGGTGTTATGTCCTTATATTAAATTACATTCCTTGATTTTTATCATTTTGAATAGATTCTATTATGTGAGGGTGGATTATTTACAGAAGAAACCATGCCCCCTGTCAGTACCAATACTGGCCCTTCTAGTTCTGCAAGTGCTCAGACTGGAGATAACCCGAATAATGAATCATCATCCAGTCTAGACCCAGCAAACAGAAACACGTTCTTCTCAATTATCATTAAAAAGACTAAAGGGTAGAAGATGATTACATACGTAAAGGGTAGATCTTGCATGCTTTGAGTGATCATCAATTCAATCTCTACTCAAGAATGCCAGCTGCAAAAGACCTCTGAGAAGCATTTGCAGATGAATATAAGGAGATCAGGAAGAAAGTTCTCAGTTCATTCAGATTTGGGCTTCAAAATCGCCAATGACAAACACATTTTAGCAAAAGTACACGAACTTCAAGTATAGTTTCTAATGGAATGAAGATTGAAGAGCAATTTCATGTAGTATCCATTGTGGCTAAGCTACCCCCATCTTCGAAAGATTATAGAAATGTTTGTATTCACAAGCCTAAAGATATTAGCTTAGAGCAGTAAGTGTTTCAAAAAACGGTAGGTGGCCTTTAGTCTAGGCAAAAAGCCCTCTGAGGGCCTTTTGGTTTAAGGGTTGCTTGCTCGCCTTTTGAATAGAAGGAAGTGGGATCGCGGGAGTGATTTCGGGCCAGCCTTGCGCCTAGCACCTGGCGCCCTGAGATGAAAAATTACATATGTGCTGAACAGCCCACATATATGCACATTTTGTATTAATTTTGTATATTTTTTGCAATTGTATGTAGTCTAACTAACTTTTTCCATGCAAATATATACCCATGAAGGTTGAAACACTTTTCAAAACTTCAAATCATTGAAAATTTAATTTTATTAAATCAAAACCCTAAACAAGTCCATGTATTAGCCCCAACTATCTAATCCAAACTGAGTATGGCATGCTCCATATTTACGCATGAACATGATCAAAACTTGACAAGATGAAATACAAAAATTCGAACAATGAAGGAAAAGCTTTTAGATGCTTGCTCAAACCTCAAATTCTTTTTTTGATTCACAGAAATATCAAAATAAATTGATTTACAGCCTTAAATTCAAATTTTTTTTCACTCCGGAGGTTTAGAATACCCCAATAGCCTTTTATGAAAAAATTGTGGGCCAAAAATGTCCCGAAGTGGCCTTGGGGGGCACTTTATTCCCAGAAAAAGGGTCATGTGCCTTCGCTTCTGCTCAGGACTAGGCAGCAGGTGCTGGGCGCCCACCTGGACTTCCTAGGCAGACACACAGGCACTGGAGCCCAGGGAGGGCCACCAAGCCTGGGCATGCACCTTGAGGCCCTCCGAGCGCCTAGACACCGAGCGGACCTTTTCTTAAACAATGGGAGCAGCTAATAACTCATTTGTGAAGAGAAAAAGAAAGAAAACTACAAGATGTGATAGAAGTCGCAGATGATTTTTATTTGGTTGAGGGTCCAAAAGAGGAAGAAGTTGAGATTCAAAGAGTTGGGAATAGAGATCGGAGAAAGAAAAGAAGCAAAGGAGTAATGAGAATGAAGACAAAGCACTAAAAGCCAAATAAACTCAAGGCAAGGAGAAGAAACCGTTTGCAGGAGAATCAATCACGTGCAGAATTTACTCTTCAAAAGAAGTAAAAGGCTTAGGCCAAATAGAAGCTCGTCACCATAATCTCTAAGGTAAACTTAGTAGCAGCACTATAGATTGGTGGGTAGACTCTGGTGCCACCAAACATATCTCTAGCAACAGGAACATTTTTGGAACTTACAAAATAGTGGGAACGGATCTGTCTTATACGGGTAATTCTTCGGCAAATTAGCTCGTAAAAGGGTAGTAGCAAAATGCATGTCCAGAAGAGTCCTGACCTTTTTAGAAGTTTATTGTCCTACTGAAGTCCAGAGAAATCTTGTGTCAACAAATGTTCTAAAAGCGAGACTTTAAGCTTATCTTTGAGTCCGAGAAGTTTGTCTTGTCAAAGAATAGTGTGTCTATAGGTATGGGATAGGCCTCTAAAGGCATGTTTAAACTCAATATGAATAATGAAACATGGTACCTCTGCTGCTATGTATATGCTTAAATCATTATCATCATCATCATCCGAGCCTTATCCCAACATTGGTGATCGGCTACATGAATCTTGTTCCATCATTCTGCTCTATTAAGAGTCATAACCAAAACAAGGAGATATGGGCTCAGAGCTGACCATTGATGTAGGCCTACTGTCATTGAAATTCACTTGTCTCTCCACTAGTTGTCTGCACACTACTTAGTGCTCCGTCGCACATATCTCTCACCATGTCAATATAGCCTCTGAAGACTCCTTTTTTTTTTCAACAGCCACCAAATTAAATCGCTAGTTATTCCATCGTATACTTTCTCCAAATCAATAAAGATCATGTCGAGGTCTTTTCCCATCTCTCTAAACTTCTTAACCAGTTGCTGAAGTAGAAAAATAGCCTCAATTGTTGACCTCCCTAACATAAAACCGAACTAATTTTCTGATACACTTGTTTCATGTCTTAGTCGTTGCTCGATCACTCTCTCCCACAACTTTATAGTGTGGCTCATAAGTTTGATATCTTAATAGTTCATATAATTATGTATAATTGCGCATGTATATGCTCAATTATCTTCCATTATGACATGGTAGAATAGACCATGTCAGTATCGTGCTTTGAAAAAAATGAGTATCTTAGACCTAATCCTAAGTGTGAGAGTATTGAGCATGCTTTATTAAGTTCCAATGTTTACCTTTTAAGGGATGAAGATGAAGTATTTGAGAAGTTCAAAATTTACAAAACTGAGGTTGAAAATCAACTAAATTTGGAAATAAAGATTTTGAGAAGTGACGCAGGTGATGAATATTGCTCCAAGGGCTTACTAAAATTGTGGAGAAAGCATAATCATTCACCAATTTACTACCCCGCACATACCACAACAAAATAGTTCCGACAAAAGAGAGCTGCACATTCGTAGACATGGTTAATGCGATGCTCATTAGTTATAATCGTCCTGCTAATTTGTGGGGAGAAGCTTGGATGTTTGAGTACTACATTTTGAACATAATATCATATTTTAATTCAAATATTCCATCATATAAATTATTGAAAGGAAGGAAACATTATTTAGGAATCCTCAAGGTTTGGGGTTGTATGCCTTGGCAAGGCTCCCTGACCTTATATAAGATGCCTAAATCGGGACCCAAGTGTATTAAGTGTGTTTTCATGGGGCATGATGAACACAGCAAAGACTACAAGCTTCTAGACCTGGACTCCAATGTAATCATAGAGTCGACGCAGAGTTTTGAATGCATATTTATTAGTGAGATGATAGAGAATGTGATAACACAAGAAACATAAACCTAATGAGCATGATTATACTAAGATTTGAACGTCGGAGAAGAAAAAGAGTTAGGAAACTAACTGATTCTAGACCTCATTTTCAAATGCATCTTTTAGAAGAAAATCTCAAGAACTTCCAAGAGGCTATGTCCTCTTATGACACTCCCTTTAGTAGGGCAGTGATCAATGATAAGATAGATTCATTATTGGCACACAATACTTGCAAACTTGTGGATTTACCTCCCCGTACTAAGCCTTTGGGATGTAAATGAATTTTTGAAAGGAAAACAAATTCGGTTGGTACTATCAAAAATTCTAAATAGAGGCTGGTTGCTAAGGGTCACTAACAAAATGAAGTAGTCGATTCTTTAGCCCCCATGCACCAGTGCTTGGATAGCTACTATTTGAGTACTCAAAGCCACATCTCACCCCCATGGTGACACGTGGCCAATACACAACATGCATGTCACTACGTGGCCCTCCACATAGCTATGAGAGAGAGCCACTTTTACGGTCTAATTGGTCCACATTGGCATTGTGTACCCCTGATGCCCAAATGTATGATGTCGACCTTACATATGAAAATTGACCAAAAATTTCCAAACAAATCTCTACTAAAGCACAAAGTTGTTTCGAAACACTATTTTCCAAAAAAAATTAGTCAAATTGTTAAGGAAGACAATAAAGGCACTATCACAGAAAGAAATGAAATTCCATAATCACTCTATTAGAATCACATGTGCTATGATTGGTATAATTGGCATATGGATTATATACAAAACTACATAAATGGATAAGAAATGGAGGCCAACTTCCATAATAGAGCTTGTAAAATATCTTAATAGCAAAAATAACAAATGATTATTAAAACTTTTTAAAAGGCATATGATAACTAGAAGTCGCCTTTGATTTACCTCAAGTTCTTGAAAATGGGAATGCATGAGGAGATCCGTGAACAGCTTTCTTAACACCTTTACTAGAAAAAGATGTATAGCTTGTCCTTCGTTTTCTCCCCCAACCAAATCAGGTCCAAAAAGTTCACCTCCACCAGCATCCTCAACAATTTCTAAACAACTCTTGCTCATCTCCTCAATCAATTCAATCAGCTTAAACTTTGTTCCAACTAAATTGAACAATTCTTTTAAACAAGACAAGCCCAAGTGGACCAAACCCTCCCCTTGATCATCACCACAAAGCCTTCCTCTGCTATCCTTTTTCCTTTGATCTTTCACTAAGCTTGAGCAAGACTTCATTAACCAGACCAGGTGCAACAACCGAGACCCTAAGACCTTGATGTCTCCATAAATCAAGCCCTTTAATGGACTATCAGCTTCTAGGGATTGAAAGGCTTTAAGATGAGAAAGGCATGCTTTCAAGGTAAAGGACATTAGATGTACATACTGATTGTTATGATTTTCAGAATCTGTACATCTAGAAATTTTCACTACAAGCTCCAGTAGACAAGAGATACTTGAAGTAGATAAGAAAGGACTTCTCACTAGAGAAAACTTTGAAGGGTATGCTTTCTGCCCCTCTCTGGTTTCAGTTTCACCGTGGATATCTTGAGTATTATTAGCCTTTGGATGTCCTTTTCGATGACTCTTTCCTTGTTTATTACAGGCAACTTTCTCCAAGGAATCATAAAACACAACAAAGTCAATAATTTCTTTCTCAAGATCTATGTTTTGGGCATCTGTTGCATTCCCGATCTCCTTTGCTAACAAATTAACCAGCACCTGAATTATGCCAGATAAAATCCAAGCATAAAAACTGGTCTTTTCACCGTCCAAAGTTTGAGAACCCAAATCCTGGTTTGTACCAAGTATATCTGATTTGACATAGATAGGATCAGAAATTAGTAAGAAGCAAGATTATTGATAGAGGAGAGACAATGCTAAGAAACTAGAAAAATTTAATGAAACGTGATTTGGGGAGAAAAGAGCCAAACCTTCCAAACTTTTATTCCTCAAAAACTTCCTCATCTTCATCAAAGTATCTGCAAAGGACTCACTGGAGGAAATTCTTGCAGCCTGCAGTAATTTCAAAAGAATTAGACTGGATCGAATTTGTCCCTCCCTCCCTACGTCTACATTGGTAGATCACTCACAATAAAAAGGACTAATCACAAGTGAATACCTCGTTGTCCTGTGAGAGGGAAAACCCAAAGCATGACCATGGTTGCTGAAAGGCTTTGTCTTGTGGCTTAAGAAAAAGAAGCCAAGAGACACATGATACGAGGCAATCTAAAGGTTCTTCAATTTGAAGAATGCCATTCTCAGCTTTGACACAATCTCGCAGCTTAATCTTAAACTCCTCACTCTAACAATGCAATTGCATATCATTTTAACAACACAACTATTATATAAATCACTGAGTAAGTTTTGGATTCAAAGGAAAAATACTTTATTTCTTTTTTTTGTATTTTGCCAGGTATGGGCTCATTACCGTTTTGGATTCAAAGAACTGAAGGAAGTGGGGCCTAAGGAATTCAAAAACAGGTCCTACGACAGAAGTATCAGACAACACAAGCTTCACAAGGCCCCAGTACATGCTCTCTTTAACTGTAGCCTGAGATGATAGAAACAAGAACAACGCAATATCAGTATTCAGTGCTATAAACGAGAGAGAGAGAGAGAGAGAGAGAGAGAGAGAGAGAGAGAGAGAGAGAGAGAGAGAGAGAGAGAGAGAGAGAGTAGTAGTAGTAGTACGTAGTACGTACGTACGTAC